ACCATTAGTACTTATAAATAAAATGTATTCACAGTTTTGTAAATCTTTGCAAGTAGTACTTGCATAATGATAATTTAATTGGATTATATAAGAAAGAAGCATTTTAAATAGAATTTATCCATCATTGTGCATATCGTTGGAAATTTTGGTGCCCGCAGATTGATGAATCAAATTATATCTCATAAATAATTATTAATAAAACCGATGAAAGATCCTGGACATGTTAATTTTATCGTTGCAATGGATATCGTTGAAAATTTTGAAACAGAGATAAGTAAATTGACAAGTTATAACTTAATCAAGTTGTTTAAAGAATTTATGAATTGTCGTGCACATTTGTGCAAAGTTTGGTACATGTAGTTTAACGAATCAATTGAATTGTTAAAGCAACATATAAATAAACAGAATTTATTTATAATCTTGCATATCATTGAAAATTTTGACACAGATATAAAAGGATTGATCAAATTATAATTTATAGTTGTAATTTATAGATCTCATGAACTGTCTTGCACATGTATAGACATTTTGGTACATGTAGTTTAACGAATCAACTGAATTGTTAAATAAATAACCTTATGAATGAAATTTATTCATCATATTGCATATCGTTGAAAATTTTGATATAAAGATAATTAAATCGATCAAATTATAACTTATAGTTGTAATTTATAGATCTCATGAACTGTCTTGCACATGTATAGACATTTTGGTAGCTGGGGATTAACAAATCAATTGTATTATTAAAGAAACATAAATAAATAGGATTTATTCATAATCTTGCCTATTGTTGAAAATTTTGACACAAGGAGATAGATAAGTCAAGAAATTATAACTGAATCAATATGTTTAAAGAACTTATGTATTGTCCTGCACATTTGTGAAAATTTTGGTACCTGTAGTTTAACGAATCAATTGAATTGTTAAAGAAACAACCTCATGAATGAAATTTATTCATAATCTTGCAAATTGTTGAAAATTTTGAAACAAAGTGATAAATAAATCGATCAAATTATAACTTATAGTTATAATTGAAGAATCTCAAACTGTCTTGCACATGTATGGACATTTTGGTACCTAGGGATTAAAGAATCAACAGAACTGTTAAAGAAACAACCACATGAATGAAACTTATTCATAATCTTGCCTATCGTTGGAAATTTTGACACATGGACATAGATGAATCGATCAAATTACAACTTAATCAAGTTATTTATAGAACTTGTGAACTGTCTTGCACATATTCAGAAGTTTTGGTACCAGGAGATTGATATCAATAAAATTATCAACCTTGTGACTAAAATTTATTCATCGTCTTGGCCTATTGTAGAAAATTTTGACACATGGAGATAAATGAATCGATCAATGGTTAAATTTTGAGTTATCTATAGATCTGACTTCTAAATGTATGGACATTTTGGTACCTACAGAGTAACAAAACGAAAAAAAAATGTTAACCTAACCTAACTTACACCACCAACCAATTAATTGACTACATTATCAAATAAAAAACCATTTTCTCATCAACTTGTCTATCGTAGAGAATTTTGACAAATGGAGATAAGTAAATTATATCCGATGGTTATAATTTAAGTTATTTATAGACCTGTCTTGCACATGTATGGACATTTTAGTAGTTGTAGTTTAACGAATCAACTGAATCGTTAAACAAGCAACCTCATGAATAAAATTTGTTCATGATCTTGCCTATCGTTGGAAATTTTGACACATGGACATAGACCAATCGATCAAATTATAACTTAATCATGTTATTTATAGAACTTGTGCACAGTCTTGCACATATTCAGAAATGTTGGTACATGGAGAGACTAAAATTTGGTCTATTGTAGAAAATTTTGACACATGGTGATAAATGAATCATTCAAATTATAACTAATGGTTGTAATTGGAGTTATCTATAGTTTTATCTTGCACATGTATGGACATTTTGTTACCTAGAGTGTAGAAAAAAAAAAGTTAACCTAACCTAACTTACACCACCATATTGCACCCCCAACACAATTTGACAAATATGAAACAAATTTTATAACAACTCACCTCTGTATCTTTCTAAAGTCATATAAGATATTAACGCCCCTCTAGGCGATAGCAATCTTCTTGATAATTGTAAAAACCGTCCTCAATACTCAATCAATTACGTTTTCCTCAAAAAAACGTGTGCATACAAAAATCACAGTCTGAAATCTTCGCACTCTGAACACTCTGGTGTAGTTGTATTTAGATTAAAAAACGTTTTCCTGGGGCCTAGATGTTACTAGTGCCTCGATGGACTTTTGAATAATTTACTTGAATAAAATATCTAGAATAATCGATTTAAAAGCTGTTGTTTCGCACGCGAATAATGCCTTCTTGTCACTCTCGAATGGAACTCTCAGCAAACTGCGCAGGCAGATGGCCAGCGAATTGCGATCGATGACAAATGAACGCGGTTCGGCGCGAAGTTGGCAACGAACTGGGGGCGGGAGATTCGAAAATTGAAATTCAAATTATGAAAAAATAAAGATACAGATTTCATATTATTAACTTCCCGTAGTGTAGTAGACCTAAAAAACATTCAATTAGTAATGATTGGGAAAAGTGTTTATTAGTTTTCGGCAAAGGCATGCCCAGCCATTTCGAAGATACGGAGCTAAATGTGCAAAAATACTCTAATTTCCACTCCTGATTAAACTGTTCTAATTGGTTGTAAAGTAGATACAAGTAGCATGGAAAATTGCATTTATTAATCGATTTTAATAATTAACTAGTTGAAAGTGGCATTTTGCCTTAAAGCAAGTTGCATCAACTTGCATGTAATATAATCAACCAAAATTTATGAGATTTAGAAATTTAGATAAAATTAGTCAACTTAAGGACTTTAGATAAAGCTAGTGGTGTATGGCATCGTGCCTTAAGGCAAATTGCTGGAACTTCCAGTTCTGCAATGCAATTAATATTTGAAGAATATTACATGTTTTCAGTTATATTATTATAAATACTGTAACTTTCATTACTCGTATTTTATAGACAAAATATAAGAGCTTGTAGATTAGATGATGAAGTTTATTTAAGTTTACATAAAAAGTGAATAATCAAACGGTGTTAAAATGAAGGATCTGATCTCATATTTCTAAAAGAAGTGCAAAGTTAAAATTAATTATCTCAAGTATATAAATGAGCTTTAAAATTTTAGCTAGAATTAAAATTAAAATTCAAATTATTTTCGACCAAAAATTATTTTTTTTTGGAAATTAAAAAGAATTTTTTTGCTTTTCCCGAAAATAATTGTTCCATCAATGCAAACGAATAGTTCTTTGAATCATTCAAATCTGTTGCTTCGTTCTCTCAAAAACTGCCATTTTTTGCACATTTAGCTTCGTATCTTCGAAATGGCGGGACCTGTCTTTGCCAAAAACTAATCACCTTTTCTTCCAATGATTACAAATTGAATGTTCTTTAGATCATTCAAATCGGATGCTTCGTTTTCTCAAAAATCTAATTTCTATTTTCTGCACTCTTTGCTCCGTATCTCCAAAACGGCTCGACCTGCCTTTGCCAAAAACTAATCAGCACATCTCCATATCAATAGGAATCAAATATTTTTTTAATCATTCAAATCGGTTGATTCGGGTTCTCGAAATCACCGCACATACATACACATACACATACATCCATTTGTTCTAAGGTATACCACAATGTTCAGAAACCTTTGAAACGTAAAGATATATAACAATTTTTCTTTTCGATTTTTGTGCGATTACAATAACTTACCCTACAAAAAGTTAACCAGATTTACACTCATTTTATAAGATTTAGACTCATTGGAGTAGATTTGCAATAATTTCCAAATATTCACTCACTCTCTTAGATTTACACTTATTATAGTAGTGCCTAAGCAAAAAAATTGGTTGAGGATCTTCTGGAGGAATAAAGTTTTCCTAAAAAATATTGCATAAAATTTAAAAAAATATTTATTTATCATAATTATCTGCCCTGTCACAAAAGGAATTCAAGTTATGATTTCTGGCACATCTCAGCTGCTTTTCGGCAATAATAATGTAGACATTTCATTTTTCTTATTCATAATCATAAATAGGTTCATAAGTAAATTGAAATTTTTGGCACATGATAGTTTTCAGTAGTTTTCAATGCAAACAATGACATGTCGTTTTTTGCAATTTATTCTAATTATTTCTACAATATTGCACATACATCCCAGTACTTTATAAACGCATACATTCTAGAATATTTCCTTAACAAACTTCAAAAAGATTTATCAAAATCCGAATAATCGTTCAGTGAGTGTTTGTAATTTAATATGAACTTTATATAATAGCAATAAAGCTCAAATTGATTCAACGTTTTAGTTAGAAAACGTTTGTATGAGAAAAAGAAAAGGAATGTTTTTAGGGTTTTCCCGGCAATTATTCGATTTTAAAAAAAGAATTGGCCAAATTGGTCCAGGCGTTGTTGAGTTATGCGCTTACCTTTGCTCAGCAAACTGTCTTATTATTTATAATTGATGATGACTATCAGAAAATTAGTATTGATGCTAAAAGAAATGGCTTTACTGATGAGCTAACTAAAAAATGAATCTACTAATAAGTAAATAGTAAAACAGCTTTCAGCAGTCTCGACTTATTGTAGATAAAATACTCCTGGAACACAAAGATCATAATTATTAATATACATGAATCAATTGGAAAGGTAATTCCAAGGAATAAGAATATAACATCAAATTATTAATAAAAAAATTTATTCATAACCACTTTAATATAAAATTTTATTCACCACATTTTAATTGTATCAAACAACAAGATTGACCTCATTATGAACTAATTAAAATCGTAAAATACATGTACATCAATAAATAATTATTAATTTTGTTTATATAAATAAAAACTAAAAGAAAATTAAGCGTTAAAACAACCTCTCTCAAAATAATTTTACAATTAAAACGCGCGATTGTTAAAATCAACGATTATATTTACATCCTCTTATTTGTTTAAAGTTTTTGTTATTTACACAATTTTATACATTATTTATAAATTAGGTAAATATATATTTATAATGTCTCTAACCTTTTTTACTTATTATTGTTTTTCTTATTATCTCTTACGTATAGGTGTAATTTTTAGTCAATTTAGCCTAGTTAGTTTCTTTTTATTTACAATTGTAGAGAGAATTCTAATCGCCTCCGGGAGGAGGCGGTCTTGGAGGCGTCGGAGGCGCTATTAGTCGGGCGAACACTTGCTGGCGACCACCAAGGGCCCCTGGAAAGGGTAAAAGATAATTAGTCACTTTTTAAAATAAGCTATGAGATTAGTCCGCCCCTGAAATTATTAACTTCCCGTAGGGCAAGTTACAGTAATCGCAAAAAAACCCGAAAATGAAAATTTTTATATATCTTTACGTTTCAAAAGCTTCTAAACATTTTGGCATACCTTAGAAAAAATGGATTCATGTGTGTGTGTATGTGTGAGTGTGTGTGTGTGTGTGCGGATACAAATTTTCGTCGACGATTTCGGAAACACGGATGAAGCGATTTGAATAATTCAAAAAAAACATTCGATTCGTATTGATAAGGAGACGTGCTGATTAGTTTTTGGCAAAGGCAGGTCTAGCCGTTCCGAAGATACGGGGCAAAAAGTGACAAAAACGGTAACTCAGTTTTTAAGAGAACGATGGAGCGTCCGATTTGAATAATTCAAAAAACATTTTATTTGTATTGACTAAATAAAGAACTGTTTAAATTTTTGGAAAGGAAGGTGCAACGTCTTTGGAGATATGGAGGAAAAAGTAAAAAAATGAGCCATTTGGCGGTGAAAAATGATCATTAGACATATGCACATCAAATTATAAGATATTTTATAGAGATTTTAACAATAATTATAAATTTTGTTTACATTCCTATGGGTTCCTTATCAATGTTTATCCGTTAGACGGCGACGCGGCGCTTACGCGCTTCGATATTTCGTCTCTATGCAGTTAAAGCAGTACGATTGCTTTGAAAAAAGTTGAGAATTTCCAAAACATTTCAAATTAAATTTTTCTTCAAGAAGTCTTTTTTTTAAAAAAAAGTAAATTTTTGGCAAAAATTTATAGTTTCTCAAAAATCTAATTAAAATGTTGATCTAAGAAGGTTTGTTGAATCTGTTTTAATTTTTTTAAATTCACAATGTGTTAATAAGAGAAGTTCTTCTTATATTATATATATGTATGTAAGACTGATTTTTTTAATACTTGAACAATTTTTTAACACTTGATATTCTCATTTCTTCTTTTTCAGAATTCGAAATATTTCGATTACTCGATTTTATTTTTTAAAATTCTATATATATATACATATTTTTTTCTTTTTAGAACAAAATATTGATGTTTTAATTGTCAAATTTTATATAAAATAATTTTAAACTGGGTTGGTACATATAATTTTAGTTCTGTTTTATTTTATTTTATTACTCTTTTTATATTTCAGCTGAATGAGGAGCTAGAATAATAGCTCAAAACGTATTCAAGAAGATTTTATATTTTTTTCTGTTTTTATTTTTTCGACTTGTGGCTGAAAAACCTTATCATATATATATATATATATATATATATATATATATATATATATTAATTTAGAAATTTGAACAAACAACACTCTTTTTTGCACTAATTTATTAAATAATAATTTCACAAACGTTTCGAGACTAGGTTTGTCTCATCATCAGTGTGTTATAATTTAAAATCTAAAATATGGAAACCTAAATTAGGATTATGTGTTATCCGTTCAATATAATTAGTATATTATTTACATTAACACACTGATGATGAGACAAACCTAGTCTCAAAACGTTTGTAAAATTATTATTTAATAAATTAGAGCAAAAAAGAGTGTTGTTTATTCATATTTCCAAATTAATATATATATATATACATATATATATATATATATATATATATATTGTGATAAGGTTTTTCAGCCACAAGTCGAAAAAATAAAAACATATTTCCAAATTAATATATATATATATATATATATATATAATAGGTTGTCAAATATCTCCCTTCCGCCTTTTTGTATTATAAACCAATAGCAAAAAAGCGGAAGGGAGATATTTGACAACCTAATATATATATATATATATATATATATATATATATATATGTATATATATATATTTACATATATATATATTTATTTATTTATTTATTTATTATATTCAATTATTACCTTTCCCCTGCTGTGCAATCGGTATGACCTTCAATCCTTGCAAAGTTTTAATATTAATAGCTCCCCCTTGAAAACCAGGCGGCAACAAAATCTGCTGCGTCAAAAGTTGTCCACTCTGCCCCTGACTCGTCAGAACCACCCTTTGTCCCTGCAGCGCGGACTGCGTCTTATTCTGCAACCCCTGAACCTTAATCGTCTGCCCTAACATAACCTGCTGCTGCTGATTCAGGGAAGGTTGATTTTGCACTTTCAATGTCTGTCCACTACTTAGCATCACTGTTTGAGGTTGGGTAATGATATTACCACTGCCCGGTTGGGTAATGATATTACCGCTGCCCGGTTGGGTAATAATGTTACCAGTGCCCGGTTGGGTTTGTGGACTTTGCACCTTTATAACCTGTCCTCCTAGAATGACAGTTTGCGTGTTGGTCGTCTGGTTTGTGTTGATGATGTTTAAGTTGCCCTGGGTGATCATGTTGCTTGGAGGACAGACTTTTAGAGTCTGTCCGCTTATAACTAAGTTGCTGTTGGATTCGCTTTGAGCTGCAGTTTGTAGTATCACATTTTGACCTTGCAGTTGACTTCCTTTGCTGGCCAAGATCACCGGTTTACCACCTATGTGCGCAATGTTCAAACCAGCAGTATTAACCATCCTAATAGTGTTCCCTGAACCGGACACCTTAACACCTTGTCTTATGATCCCTTGTTTATGGACAGGAGATGTGATGATTTTACCCTGAGCGTTCTGGATACCCAACAACTTAGCATTGACCAGCTGCTGGTTCAATTGTTGCTGTATCAGCTTCTGCCCACTTTGTCGAGGAGGTGTCGTTGTGATGGCTGGTTTTACAAGCCTAGGACTACTCGTGGTGGAATTAAGACTTGATGTATTCGCTACGGATGCTGTGACCATTCTGGCGTTGCTCATTGTAATTAAATTGCCTTGGGACACCATGGCAAACTGCTGGACTTGATTTGACGTGCCACTGGCTAATTGGATTAAATGATTTTGACCTTGTTTGGGAGTCACTCTTAACGTTTGACCACCTGAAAGGGTAATAGAAATAAAACAAAAGTCACATATTGACACATACGCCATGTCTACTTTTGTTGCAAAAATACTTCTAAATTACTATTATTATTTTTTTTACAATTATTAATTTCCCGTAGGGTAGTTAGAGTAATGGTCCGAAAATCGAAAATGAAAATTTTTGCATTTCTCGACGTTTTGAAGGTTTCTGAACATTTTTAAGGGGCATACCTCAGAAACTAAATGGATGTGTATGTGTATGTTTTTGGGCGCATGAATCAACCGATTCGAATGATTTAAAAAACATTCGATTCCCATTGATAAGGAGATGTGCTAATTAGTATTTGGCAAAGACAGGTCCAGCAGTTACGGAGATAAAGAGCAAAGAGTGCAGAAAATACAAATCGAGTTTTTGAGAGAATGGAGTATCCGATTTGAATAATCCAAAAAAATTCAATTTGTAATGATTGGGAAAAAAGGTGATTAGTTTTTGACAAAGACAGGTCCCGTCATTTCGAAGATATAGAGCTAAATGTACAAAAAATGTCAGTTTTTGAGTGAACTAAGAGTCCGATTTGAATGATCTAAAAATCTTTCTGCTTGTATTGACAAAACAATTGCTTTTGAGGATAAAAAAGTATTACATCTTTTTTTATTTTCCATAAAATATTTTTGTAATTTTGGATTGAAGATTCGAAAAATTACCCAGACTAAGCACAGTCTAAGCGCCACTCTGGGGCAAATCTTTACCCAAGTGTGTTTAGACTGTTCATCTACTGGAGCACTTTTTCAATTTTGTGAAAACTATTGAAGAATGTGAAAATGCCGCCAAGCTAAGCACAGTATAAGTGAAAATGTTGCACAGAACGGGAGCACTTTTTCAATTTTGTGAAAACTATTGAAGAATGTGAAAATGCCGCCAAGCTAAGCACAGTATAAGTGAAAATGTTGCACAGAACGGGAGCACTTTTTCAATTTTGTGCAAATTAGGCAACTATTTTTTTTTTGTTGAAATACAATTCGAAATGAAATGACGATTGTTAATGTTCTGTATTTTTCTAGATAAATTGATTCATGATTTACATTTGATTTGCTCAGATAAAATAATGAAAATTACAGTATTTGTAATAATATATTTGAAAACGTTTAAAATTTCTCGAACATATTTCATTACGGTACGGGAAGTTCCAACAATTTGCCATAAGGCACGATGCCATACACCACTAGTTATTTTTATGATTGTTATTGTTAAAATACTTATTAATTAGTTAACTAAAAACTTATAATTTAAAAACACTTAAAAATTGTGAAACAAAATATTTCTTTCATCAAAATACCTAAAAATTTGTAAAAGAAAATACTTATATTGTAAAAATACTCAATAATAATAATAATAATAATATAAGACACTTAAATTTGTTAAAATATCATAAAATAACCTAAAATTTGTTAAATGAAATAATTATATTGTCAAAAGTATCGTACAGCTTATTAAAATACTTATTAAATTTTTGAAAAATATTTGCAACAAACAAACTAGTTATATTTAAAAATAAGCAATACTAGTGGTGTATGGCATCGTGTCTTAAGGCAAATTGCTGGAACTTCCCGTACCGTAATGAAATGTTCGAGAAATTTTAAACGTTTTCAAATATATTATTACAAATACTGTAACTTTCATTATTTTTGCTATCTTGTTATATCTGTGCAAATCAAATTGAAATCATAAATCAATCAATTTATCTCCAGAACATTAACAATCGTCATTTCATTTCGAATTCAATTTCAAAAAAAAATAGTTGCCTAATTTACACAAAATTGAAAAAGTGCTCCCGTATAGTCACAGTCTAAACGCATTTGCAAACAATTTTGTGCGACATTTTTACTTATACTGTGCTTAGCTTGGCGGCATTTTTACATTTTTTAATAGTTTTCACAAAATTGGAAAAGTGCCCCAGTACAAAAACAGTCTAAACGCACTTGGGTAAACATTTGTACCAGGATGCGCTTAGACTGTGCTTAGCCTGGGTAATTTCTTGAATTTTTAATCCAAAATTACAAAAATATTTTTTGAAAAAAAAAATTAGAAACAATTTTTTTTTTCTAAAAGCAATTGTTTTGTTGAAACAAGCAGAAAGTTCTTTGAATCAATTAAATCTGACGCTTATAATTAGTTCTCTCAAAACTTGCCATTTTTTTTAACATTTAGCTCTGTATCTCCGAAACCGCCGGGTCTACATTTGCCAAAAGCTAATAACCACTTTTCCCCGTCATTACGAACTGAATGTTTTTGAGATCATTCAAATCGGATACTCCGCTCTCTCAAAAACTCGATTGGTATTTTCTGCACTCTTTGCTCCGTATCTCCGTAACGGCTGGATCTGCCTTTGCCAAAAACTAATCAGTACTTCTCCCTATCAATAAGAATCGAATGTTTTTTAAACCATTCAAATCGGTTGATCCGTGCGCTCGAAAACGTGGACGAAAAAATGCGGACATACAAAACACACACACATACCAAAATGTTCAGAAACTTTCAAAACGTCGAGAAATGCAAACACTTTCAATTTCGATTTTCGGCCCTTTACTATAACTACCCTACGGGAAGTCAATAAATAAATAAATAAATAAATAAATATCTTTACCTTGTTGTATGATATTAGACTGTTTCCCTAATAATCCTTCCACGGTAATAACTTGTCCAGAAGCATTCGTCAACAATTTCGTCATGATGGGTTGTTGGATATTTTGCGATTTTGGAGAACCCCTTTGCAAATTTCCGCTCACCACCGAAACATTAGGCACATTTTTGGTCACAACAGCTGCTCCACTTGCATTTGCTTGCTGCAGCTGTTTCTGGAGCTGCTGCATCGCCTGCTGCTTCATCAGGACTTGGTACTGCCCGGTTTGCTGATTCTAGATAATAGAAATATATAGAAATATATAAATAGAGCACAAGATTCTACCCGTTCCATGCATTTTTCTCCTAATCACCCTCTGTTTTATAAAAAATAATGGTAACCTGTTTAATTTAAGCCCAAATCCCGAATGTATTTATTATGACACAAGACATAAACTTGTAAAAGGTCCCACATTGAAATTTGCCTCTACATTTAATACCTTAGATGGTCTGGGCATAATGCTTTACAATAAGCTGCCACTAGGTATTAGAGAAGTTGGAGTTAGGAAATTTTATAAACTACTCAACACATTTTTTAAAGAGCAAGTGTTTTACTCTATTGATGAGTATTTGAGTTATAACTTTCAGTAAATTATTCTGTAAAACTTGTAATAATATTTTGAGTGAACATTTTTAAATTATATTTCATTTAATATAGTATGTATTATTATCTATTAATTTAAGTTATCTATCATATAATATAATATCTATAATTGTACAATTGTGTTGTATAAATATAAATATAAATATAAATATAAAAAGGTCAAACTTTAACTACACCAAAATCTATGTCAAACGATTCAGAATAACTTGAAACTTCAAGAAAACTAAATAAGGGATCATCCATTAATCACGTGATCAATGTTTTAAAGATTTTCGGACCCCTCATTTTACATCCCACCCCCACCAAACATTACGTTATTAGTTAATATTTTTAGTTACGTGAAAAAGTTGCAAAATTTTTGTTTTTTTTTTTGAAAAATTAAATTTTTGTTGTAGCTGTCAAAATTTTTAATTAGGCGTGCATGGCATCGTGCATTAAGGCAAATTGCTGAAACTTGCCGTACCGTAATTATAAATTTTCTAAAGCTCAGTATAGAAAACTTAGAACTTTTCTAAGAATTTTGAACTTTTTTTTTAATTTTTGAAAATTTTGAGCCCATTTAGAAAATTGGAATAATAAAAAAATGCCTTTGATATTTTTTCAAACTTAGAAATTTTTGTAAACTTGAAACTTTTGTGAAAACTAACATTATATTATATTTTTGTGACAGTTTTGAAAGTTTTTCATGCCTTCTGATGTTTTTGAAGAATTTTTTTATCATTTGAAAAATTTGTTATATTGAAACAAACGCCTTTTTAAAAAATACTGGTATTTTTAACTTTTTGTAAACTTGGAATTCATGTGAAAACTAACATTTTTTATATTTTTTTTATTTTTAGTGCCAATTTATATCGGTTGATTCGAACTACCAAATTTCGACCGTAAAATGACATTTTTCCCAAATTTGTTTCTGGATTTTGCGAAAACTTTATCAAATCTTCATTACGTAAATGCAAGCGGAATGTTTTTTGAATCATTCAAATATTTGATTTCAATTTTTACCCGCTTTGCTCCGTATTTCCTAAACGACTGTACCCGCCTTTGCCAAAAACTAATCCGCACATCTCCCTATCAATAGAAATCGAATGTTTTTTGAATCATTTAAATCGGTTAATCCGTTCTCTCGAAATCGTCGACGCAAAATTGTATCCGCACATACATACATACCAAATTCTAAAAGACTTGATATTCGGTAAGAAAAATAGCAAATAAAATCAATTAGGACAAAAAAATTATAGCATTCTAGATCCTCCCACAAGAGAGTATTATTACCCAAGCATTATTAAACCCGACATACCCTGACAATAGACCTAGTCTGTGATGCCTAAATGCATTTTCTTCGCTATACAAAAACTTTTATACATAGGCCATATATAATCAGGAAATAGTGTATAAATCGATATATAAATGTATATATCCATTTTTCTAATATACTGACCCATATATAAATGCCTAGTAGTGTATAAATCAATATATAAATGTATATATCCATTTTCCTAATATACTGACCCCATATATAAATGCCTTGTAGTGTATAAATCGATATATAAATGTATATATTCATTTTTCTAATACACTGACCCCATATATAAATGCCTTGTAGTGTATAAATCAATATATAAATGTATATATCAATTTTCCTAATATACTGACCCCATATATAAATAACAAATCGTGCATAAATCAATATATAAATCTATATATCCAATTTCCTAATATATGAAGCCTAAATATAAAAGCCTAGTAGTGTATAAATCAATATATAAATGTATATATTCATTTTTCTAATATACTGACCCCATATATAAATGCCTAGTAGTGTATAAATCAATATATAAATGTATATATCAATTTTCCTAATATACTGACCCCATATATAAATAACAAATCGTGCATAAATCAATATATAAATCTATATATCCAATTTCCTAATATATGAAGCCTAAATATAAAAGCCTAGTAGTGTATAAATCAATATATAAATGTATATATCCATTTTTCTAATATACTGACCCCATATATAAATGCCTAGTAGTGTATAAATCAATATACAAATGTATATATCCATTTTACTAATATATTAAGCCTAAATATAAATGCCTAGTAGTGTATAAATTAATATATAAATGTATATAAACCATTTTTCTAATATACTGACCTCATATATAAATGCCAAACCGTGTATAAATCAATTTATAAATGTATATATCCATTTTTCTAATATCCTGACCCCATATATAAATGCCTAGTAGTGTATAAATCGATAAATAAATGTATATATCCATTTTTCTAACATACTGACCCCATATGTAAATGCCTAGTAGTGTATAAATCAATATATATATATAAATGTATATATCCATTTTTCTAATATACTGACACCTTATATAAATGCCAAAACGTGTATCAATCAATATATAAATGTATATATCCATTTTCCTAATATACTGAGACCCTATATATAAATGCCTAGTAGTGTATAAATCAATATATAAATGTATATATCCATTTTTCCAATATACTGACCCCATATAAAAATGCCTGGTAGTGTATAAATCAATATATAAATGTATATATCCATTTTTCTAATATACTGACCCCATATATAAATGCCTAGTAGTGTATAAATCAATATATAAATGTATATATCTATTTTTCTAATATACTAACCCCGTATATAAATGCCTAGTAGTGTTTAAATCGATATACAAATGTATATATCCATTTCTCTAATATACTGATCCCATATATAACATGTATAAATCAATATATAAATGTATATATCTATTTTTCTAATATACTAACCCCGTATATAAATGCCAAATCGTGTATAAATCAATATATACATGTATATATCCATTTTTTTCTAATATATTGACCCCATATATAAATGCCAAAACGTGTATAAATCAATATATAAATGTATATATCTATTTTTCTAATATACTGACCTCATATATAAAAAATCAGGTAGAAAATAAATACAAATGATATGTTACTATACCCCTCCGTTCCCATTCAAATTCATAATTAAAAATTTTACGATTTTTATTCCTAATTAAAAATACATGTAATGTTTACATGTTTAATACATTATTATTATTATTATTATTATCTTATTATTTCTATTATTGTTATTTTGTTATATTTTATTGTTTTTCTAGTATTATTTTATTATTATGAAAATTTATTTATATTATTTATTAATTTTATTTTCATTATTATTATTTGCTTTTATTTTATATTAAATCATCATACTACGGATATTATTTTCATGTAAATTCTATCCTTTGCACTCTTATTTATTTAAATGTATGTTATTATTTATCAATATTGTTAGATGTTAAATTATTTAACAGTTGTAATAAACATTGTGATTAAAAAAAAAAAAACATGTAATGTTTGTTGGGGGTGGAGGAGGGTTAATTTTGAATATCACCAAGAAATCACCAAGGGCGAGAGAAGTCAAAAAATATTTAAAAATTTGTTCACGTGATTAATGGATGCTCCCTAACTTGATAGTTCTGCGAAAACAAACTTCTACTTTGTAAATCAATACATTTATAAACGAGTTTTATAAATCTACTAGCAAACCCGACAAACTCCGTTTCGCCACCAGATGATTTCGTGAGAAAGATGAAGAAATTTTTTGTTTGTTTTATATTTGAAAAGGCAAACATTGATTTTATTATACAACAGTAATGAATTTATTTCGATTACAAAAATGAAGTGTTTTTTAGTTGAACTTCTCTACGTAAATGAAAGTGAATCCGCCAATTATCCGTGTCATTGAAGTGCTCTTTGGTAAACCACATTTTTTGTTTTTTGGTCTGACGTTGTTAACACAAATAAAGCAGATGGTTTTCCAACTCGTGAACAGGCAACGTATAACTGCCCATGTGAAAAACAATGATTTTCTAAATAATCTATTTGAAATTTATCCCGCAAACACTAAGCGATTGGCCTTGAGACTTGTTATTGCGAACGCTTGGAAATTGCAATCGTTTGAAGTCAAACGAAAGACCAGTCGGAATCATTGGCATGTCACCAAATCGCCAGCAATATTTGATTGAATGGTGAAATTCAGTGCGTGTACATCATTATTCTTTGCGGCAAGAATTGCTCGTTGACTTAATTGCAAGCATAATTCTGATAATTCTCATTAATGTCATTACTCAAATTTTTAATTACGGTGCGTGAAGTTCCAGCAGCTTGCATTAAGGCACGATGCAATGCACCACTAATTTTCTTAGCTATAAATCTTACGGAGCCCGAGATCTTTCCAACAAATGCCAAAGAAAATTGTCAAAATCGGTTCGTGCGTTCTGGAGTTATTTCGTCAGGAAGGAAAACCCGACTTATTTATATATATATAAAAGATATCTATTTACCTTTATCTGCTGTTGCTTCAACGACTGTATAATCTGCTGCTGCTGCACAGGCGTCAAAGTGCTGATTTTCTGCTGCCCAGGCACCCCCTGCAAAATCTGCGGAGCATACGTGATATTCTGCCCAGCCTCTGTACCACCGCTCTGCTGCTGCTTCTGCTGATTATTCGCCAAAGTCTGCAGCAGCTGCTGCTGGGTAACCAGCTGATGCTGCGAAGAAGCCTGCTGGGTCATCTGTTTCGCCAAAACCCCAGTCGAAGTCTGCTGCTGCTGGGATTTCTGGGCATGCAAAATATTCTGCAACAAATGCTGTTTCTGCTGCTGCGAGATAATATTCTGCAGCAGCTGTTGTTTTTGAGAATTAGTCAAAGTTGCCGTCATCACCGGTTTGGTTTGGGATATTTGGGTTTGTGTCAGTTTGGGCCTGATGGACCCTGTTGGGGCAGTGGAAGACTGTAGTTGGGTGATTGTTGGTACGTTGGATTTAGGAACCAAATTGGCTTTGTTGAGTAGAATGTGATCACTTGATAGGTTTACGTTTTGTTTAGTGTTTAAATTGACAAGTACTTGCTGGTTTTGATTGACGATGTTAGGGTTTATCAAGGATTTTCCAGGTGTAACTTTTACCAAGCTTTTACCGGCTTTCGGACTTTGCATCGGCGACGTGATGATATTTTTCAAAGCTACTTTGGTGCCCATGGGTGAACTCGTACGTTTTTGTACCGTGATATTTTTGGTGCCTTGTGCAATACTAATAGCAACATTGACAGTATCAGTATTTTCTGTAGTCGTCGTGGTTTCAATACTCATACTAGAAATATCGTTCACCTTCGGTGAACTTTTAATAGTCGGCGAGTTAGATCTATTACTAGGATTAAGTATGGATGTGTATGTTTTATTTTGTGATATTTGTATGGGTATCGTTTGTTTACCATCGGACGTCTCAACTTGCACATTCTGCACCGAGATTTGATTGCGGTGGATCAAGGGTTTGCATACTTTCACCGGTTTTTCCAAAATAGGTTTGATGATTTTAGTTTTATCAACAACGGCAGGACGTATGGAATTTTGTACGTTAAGATCGACACTTATATCAGACTCCGATTTGCTTTCGATGTTGCTCTCGTTTTGTGATGGAGATTCAGTGATTTTATTGTTATTCTTTGGCTTAACAGCTTTAGGTTTTGTTGGTTTGCGGTTAAGTGTCTTCTTATGTTTACCCATGCTTTGTATTTGTTGGTGCACCCGCTCAAACTCGCTTTCGGTGCGGTTTCTGTGTAAATAAATCCAGATTTTACGTTTTGGGTCGTACTTGACACAAGGGTCGTACTCGGCATGCATTCTGTCCAAAGCACCGGAGACTACGGATTGTAACACATTATCAGCAGCTTCTGTGGATATATACTGGGAACATCGGAGCATTTCGCAAATTTCTGCACGAGTGCCTTCGCCATTGGGTAATCTTGCTGTGGCATCACGTACTAGTGTTAAAATTGTGACGAAATTGGGTCTATCTGCATTGAGCATGGAGTGTCCACGAGCTTTAGCAATTCCTGGACTCTGGTGGTAAATACCTTTGATTGGTGCAACTACAGATTCGTAACCGTGCATCCGGTAGGTAAAGGCTTTATGTGGGTTCTCGTAACGCAAACGTTCTTGTCTTTGGAACTCTGCCATCTCTTCAGGAGTACTTTTCCGGACTTTCCAGGTTGTCGGACACTTAGGCGGAGGTGGTGTTTGGGGTCTCTCATTAACCGCAGCGTCAGCATCGTTGGTTTGATTATTTTGCGGCGGCGGCACCATGCTGTTCCGATGGTCCAACCAGTATTGGCACAAAGGCGCTAACAAATTATCACTATCCCTACCAGCTCCTATCCACTGGTACATTTGCAAGTTCGTTTTGTACTCTAAATACGGCACAAAGTCGTCAGGTTGATCAGCGAATTCACCAGTCAAAAATTGTACAACGGACGTCAAGACGGTACTCCAATTATCAAGAAGGCTGTACCAATCGTTCAAGGGACTTATAGGGTTTTCTTGCCACATGATTAAATGTTTTTCTAAATCCGATAAAGATATTCTGTGATCCGCCGTGGAGCATATGATGTCTCGTATTAGGGACAAGAAACAAACATGCGTTTCTTGCATAAGTTCCGGTGTTTTTTCGGTGATCTCGCTTAAAATATCTATATTGGAGTCGTCCAAATCTACCGGTAAATGCATCATGTCGATACCCTCCAAGTCTGATAAGGTAGCTGCAGTACCTCGGATCGAAAAAGGACTTTCGTTTAAATTTATAGGCTCCGCCGCAATCGGGGACATAAACTGATCTATACTATGAGAAATCGTGATGTTCTCACCTTCAGGCGGTGATATACTACTACTACTAACAGTCGGCACTGGGTTAATTTGTTTAAGTTTACTATTTCTACTATTCAATGTTCTTTTCACTGGGGTTTTCATTGGTTTCTTATTAACTACGGGAGATTCAACGGGATCCAAAACGGAATCGTTTTCACTTTCCGAATTTGTACTGTAACTTTGATGGAACGAACCGCGGTTTTGAGTCTGTGACACCGGCGCACTTCGAATTTCGTGTGGTTCGTGTATATTTTTAGACAATTGACTGTTTTTCAATTCTGCTTTGAGGGCTTTTATGGATTTTTTGAGTTTCAAATCGTGACTGTGGGGATTGAAGGCTTGTATGGGCCTTCGGTGGCCACCTGCCGCTTTCGTTCGAGCACTTACATCGTATAGGGTGATACCGGTGACGTCTAGTTCTGGGTGATCCTGGAAGAAAAAGCAAGCTTACTTATTGTTTTAATTCCACTCAAATTTTATTAATTTTATTTTTATTATTATTTGCTTTTATTTTATACTAGATGACCCGACAGACGTTGTCCTGTACCCATGACTACAATTTTTTAATATAATGCTAATATTTACCGTTTACCAAAAAATATTAATTATTGTTTTTTAAATTACTCTTCACGCCAAAATGCAAATACATTTATAATATGAGCGATGTTAAATGTAGAACTTGATTTAATTAAAACGATGAGTCTCAATTCCCACACTGTTATATTGGAAATTGAAGTGTTTTAAACGGTATAACATAACCATAACCATAACATAACACTGGTACTTCATGTTGGATTAAATTAATTTAATTTTTTATTATTTAAGATATCCAAAATTGCATCTCAAACTTCTCCTAATCGATATCGTGAGGGCCGAATTGTATGTTTTCATCTCTACTTTCCCATTTGTTGTTATAAAGTGAAAATTTCACGAATTTTAAAAATATTGTAGAAAGATTCGTGAAAGATGCAAAGAAATTATATATTGAAAAAAACTATGTTGAAAATTTAATATCCGAATCTTGCATTGGCGCCCCCTAAGGCGTGCGCTCGTATTTTTCGCATACATCGCATTAAAAATAGGACCGGCCCTGATTAATACTTAATTTCATATTTTAAGTGAATTAATTTGTCATATTTGTTCATATGTGTATAATTCAATCTGCCATACATATACTGTATTTTAAATTATCTTAATTTTTGGCACATATCAGCTGCTTTTAGGCAATAATAATGTAGACATTTCATTTTTCTTATTCATAATCATAAATTTATTATACATATTCTAACATTGTTTAGGTTTATAAGTGAATTGAAATTTTTGGCAGATGATAGTTTTCATTTGTTTTCAATGCCAACAATGACATGTCGTTTTTTGCATTTTTTTCCATTTATTTCTACAATGTTGCACATACATCCCAGTACTTTATAATCGCATACATCCTAGAAAAATTCCTTAACAAACGTCAGAAAGATTTATCAAAATCCGAATAATCGTTTAGGAAAAGTATACAGTGGGTGCTTGTGATTTAATATGAACTTTATATAATAGCAATGAAGTTCAAATTGATTCGTTTTGTTTAAATTGATGTTTTAGTTCAAAAACGTTTGTATGTGAAAAAGAAAAGGGTTGTTTTTAGGGTTTTCCCAGCAATTATTAGATTTTTTCTCGCCGTAAGAACCATTCTTGGACTTCAAGGAACATTTTAAAAAAAGATTTGGCCAAATTGGTCCAGGGTTTGTTGAATTATGCGCTTATCAACATTTTTTTTTTGCTATTCATTTTTATATATAAGACTAGCAAACCCGTTTCGCCACCAGATGGTTTCGTGAGAAAGATGAAGAAATTTTTTGTCTGTTTTATATTTGAAACGGAAAAATTTGATTTCATTACACAACAGTAATGAATTTATTTCGATTACGAAAATGAAGTGTTTTTTAGTTGAACTTCTCTAAGTAAATGAAAGTGAATCCGCAAATTATTCGTTTCATTGAACTGCTCTTTGGTAAACCACATTCTTTGTTTTTTGGTCTGACGTTAACACAAACAAAGCGGATCGCTTTCCAACTCGTGAACAGGCAACGTATAACTGCCCATGTGAAAAACAATGATTTTCTAAATAATCTATTTGAAATTTATTCCGCAAACACTAAGCGATTGGCCTTGAGACTTGTTATTGCGAACGCTTGGAAATTGCAATCGTTTGAAGTCAAACGGAAGACCAGTCGGAATCATTGGTATGTCACCAAATCGCCAGCAATTTTTGATTGAATGGTGAAATTCAGTGCGTGTACATCATTATTCTTTGCGACAAGAATTGCTCGTTGACTTAACCAAGCATAATTCTGATAATTCTCACTAATGTTATTACTCGAATTATTAATTACGGTGCGTGAAGTTCCAGAAATTTGCATTAGGGCACGATGCTATGTACCACTAATTTTCTTAGCCTTAAACCTTGCGGAGCCCGAGACCTTTCCAACGAATGCAAAATTGTCGAAATCGTTTCGTGCGTTCTGGAGTTAAATCGTCAGGAAGAAAAACCCGACTTATTTTTATATATATATGTAGATAAATCATCGTACTACGGATATCATTTTAATGTAAATTCTATCCTTAGTACTTTTATTTATTTAAATTATCTTACATGTTGTTCCATCCTCCTCCTTTTATGTGTGGTTAAAATTAATTTATACGATTCTTCCGTCAGAGGAGCAGATCCTCCTGGTCCAACCAGATGATCGAGAGAACCATCTCGTGTGCACATTGTACTATAAACTCTTTCTTCAGCACCAGGACTTGTTGCACCACCCTAAAAGAATAATAAAAATTTAATAAACCCTCTAACCACAATTCTCTATTTCGAGCTCTTTTTCACTATTCTCTATTTCGAGCTTTATTTTACATTTGAAGAAATTAATTTAAGCAAAGATTATCCAATTCTAACACTGGATCAATTTAATCATTAAATATTATTTTACAAAATAGAATTATAATTTTTAATAAAAGTATTTATAAAATGTAATAAATAATTAATAAATAATTTTGTAAATAATTTGCTATGTAAGTTAGATTTTTTTTATATTAAAAGCAACAACTTTACTTGTAGTAATAATTTATAAACAACAACCATATTTTTGCTTAATTACTCTTTAAAAATAATATAAAACTATTATAATCACTCTACTTACTACATTAATAATTAATGTAGTAAGTTATTATTAATTAATTAACTACATTATAAATTTTAATATGAATAATTATCATGTATAATAAACTTTAATATAATATTATATAATATAAACAATTTATTTACTTTTACATATTCAGTTTCCCTTAAATTTAATTGAATAAAATTGTTATCAAAATGCAAGACATTGTTCTTCTTATTTAAAAATAATGTTTCATATTTTTGGAATTTGACTAATAAATAAATAAAATTGTTATAAATATTCAAGATATTATTATTTTTTATTTATAAAAATAGGTTTCATCTTCTTGGAATTCAAGTTTCATATTTTTGGAATTTAAATAAACTTGTTATAAAAATGTAAAACACTATTTTTGTAATTTAAATAAAATTATAATAAACATTATGCTTGTTATTTATACACTTTTTTGGAATTCAAATTTCATATTTTTGGAATTTAAGTTTCATATTTTTAGAATTGAAGTTTCATATTTTTGAAATTTGAATTTTGTTATAAAAATGCAAGACATTACTTTTATTATTTATAAAATAAGTTTCATATTTTTGGAATTTAAATAAAATTGTTATACAAATGTAAAACATTTTTGTTATTTATAAAAAATAGTTTCATATTTTTGCAATTTAAGTTTAATATTTTTGGAATTTATATAAAATTCTTATAAAAATGTAAGACATTGTTTTTGTTATTTATAATTGTTGGAATTTAAAAAATAGAATTTAAAAAATAAGATATTATTTGTCTTGTTTATAAAAAAAGTTTCATATTTTTAGAATTTCAATTGTCACAAAAATGTAAGACATTGTTTTTCTTATTTATAAAAATAAGTTGAAATTGATATAAAATTATTATTAATATTCAAGACGGCATTTTTGGAATTTAAATAAAATTAAAAATTATTTTTGTTACTTATAAAAATAAGTTTCATAGTTTTGGAATTTATGTTTCATATTTTTAGATTTTAAGTTTCATATTTTTGGAATTTTAATAAGATTATTATTAATGTAATGTAATAAGATTATTATTTATGTAAAGATGTAAGTCACTATTTTTAGAATTTAAATAAAATTAAACATTATATTCGTTATTTATAAAAAAGAGTTTCATATTTTTGCGATTTAAGTTTCATATTGTTAGAATTTAAGTTTCATATTTTTGGAATTTAAATAAAATTCTTATAAAAATGTAAAACATTATGTTTTATATTTATAAAAAAAGTATCAAATAAAATTGTTATAAAAATGTAAGGCATCACTTTTGTTATTCATAAAAAAATGTTTCATATTTTTGAAATTTAAATACAATTGTTATAAAAATGTGAAACACTATTTATAACATTATTTTTGTAATTTATAAAAATAAGTTTCATATTTATGGAATTTAAATAAAATTGTGATAAACATTAATTTTGTTATTTATAAAAATAAGTTTCATAGTTTTGGAATTTATGTTTCATATTTTTAGAATTTAAGCTTCATATTTTTGGAATTTAAATAAAATTGTTATTAAAATGTAAGACACTATTTTCCTCCTTTATTAAAAAATAAGTTTCATATTATTGGAATTTGTGTTTCATATTTTTAGAATTTAAGTTTCATAGTTTTGGAATTCAAGTTTCATATTTTTGGAATTTAAATAAGATTGTTATAAAAATGTGAAACACTATTTTTGGAATTTAGTTAAAATTGTGATAAACATTAATTTTGTTATTTATAAAAATAAGTTTCATAGTTTTGGAATTTATGTTTCATATTTTTAGAATTTAAGCTTCATATTTTTGGAATTTAAATAAAATTGTTATTAAAATGTAAGACACTATTTTCCTCCTTTATTAAAAAATAAGTTTCATATTATTGGAATTTGTGTTTCATATTTTTAGAATTTAAGTTTCATAGTTTTGGAATTCAAGTTTCATATTTTTGGAATTTAAATAAGATTGTTATAAAAATGTGAAACACTATTTTTGGAATTTAGTTAAAATTGTGATAAACATTAATTTTGTTATTTATAAAAATAAGTTTCATAGTTTTGGAATTTAAATAAAATTGTGATAAACATTAATTTTGTTATTTATAAAAATAAGTTTCATAGTTTTGGAATTTAAGTTTCATATTTTTGGAATTTAAATTTCATATTTTTGGAATCCAAGTTTAAAATTTTTGGAATTTTAATAAGATTATCATTAATGTAATGTAATAAGATTATTATTTATGTAAAGATGTAAGGCGCTATTTTTGTAATTTAAATAAAATTAAACATTATATTTATTATTTATAAAAATAAGTTTCATAGTTTTGGAATTCAACTTTCAAATTTTTGGAATTTAAATAAAATTGTTATAAAAAGTGTGGGACACTATTTATAACATTATTTTTGTTATTTATAAAAAAAGTTTCATATTTTTGGAATTTAAATAAATAAGATATTTATGAAAAAGTTTCATTTTTTGTAATTTAAATAAATAAGATATTTATAAAAGTTTCATATTTTTAAAATTTAAATAAAATTAATATAAAAATGCAAGTTTTTTATTTTTTAAAATGAGTTTTGTAATTTTGCAATTTAAATAAAATTCTTTTAATAATGTAAAATGTTTTTTTATTTATAAAAATAAGCTTCATATTTTTGGAATTTAAGTAAATAGGATAATCATAAAAAAGTTTGATCTTTATGGAATTTAAATAAAATGGTAATTAACATTATACTTGTTATTTATAAAAATAAGTTTCATATTTTTGGAATTTAAGTTTCACATTTATTTAAAAACAAAAATATTTTATATTTTCGGAATTTAAGTTTCACATTTTTGGAATTTAAGTTTCATTCTTTTGGAATATAAATGAAAATGTTGGACACTATTTTTGGAATTTAAATAAAAATTTTATAAAATTGTATGACACTACTTTTTAAATTTAAATAAAAATGTAACAAATATTATTTTTGTTATTTATAAAATAAGTTTCACATTTTTGGAATTTAAATAAAATTGTTATACTGATTATTTTTGTTATTTATAAAAAAAGTATCATATTTTTGGAATTTGAATAAATAAGATATCTATGTAAAGTTTAATTTTTTATATTCTAAATAAATAAGATCTTTACAAAAATATTTCATATTTTTAGAATTTAAATAAAATTAATTTAAAAATGCAAGTATTTTATTTATAAAAATAAGTTTCATATTTTTGGGATCCAAGAATCATATTTTTGGAATTTAAATAAAATTATTACAAAAATGTGAGACACTACTTTTAATTTATAAAAAAAGTTTCATATTTTTGAAATTTAAATTATAAAAGAACTTTCACATTTTTGGAATTTTAATAAAATTGTAATAAACATTATTTTTGTTAATAATAAAAAAAGGTTCATATTTTTGGAATTTAAATAAAAATCTTGGACACTATTTTTGGAATTTAAATAAAAAATTTATAAAAATGTAAGACACTACTTTTGGAATTTGAATAAAATTGTAATTAACATTATTTTTGTTATTTATAAATATAAGTTTCATTAAAAAAAAATTATTTAAACATTATTTTTGTTATTTATAAAAATAGGTTTCATATTTTTGGAATTTAAATAAAAATGTAATAAATATTATTTTTGTTTTTTTTAAAAAAAGCTTTATATTTTTGGAATTTCAATAAAAATGTAATAAATATTATTTTTGTTTTTTTTAAAAAAAGCTTTATATTTTTGGAATTTCAATAAAATTGTTATAAAAATGTGAGACACTGCTCTTGGAATTTAAATAAAATGATAAACATTATTTTTGTTATTTTTAAAAATAAATTTCATATTTTTGGAATTTAAGTTTCATATTTTTGAAATATAAATAAAATTTAATTTTAATTTAAAAATGTAATATTTTTCTCATTTAAAAAATAAGTATTATTTGTTTGGAATTCTAATAAAATTGTCAAAAATGTAAAACACCATTATTGGAATTTAATTTATAAAAATGAGTTTCACATTTTAACTCTCGACTAGAATTTAAATAAAATTGTTATAAAAGTGTAAGGAATTTTAAAAATTGTAATTAATAATCAACAATTATCATTTATCATTTACCATTTATCAATTATTACCTGCATTCCACTAAGATGCCTCCTCTGTTTCCTCGACAACTGTGGTGTAGGGCCTTCTGGATAGTTCTCATCATCCGAAATATGTCCAGGCGTGCCCACTTCAGCCACAACATTAGATAATTCCTGAAAATACCTCTTCTTAGCTCTCAAAGCTGTCGGATTAGATGCAGGCTTTGGTGGATTATAAGGTGACCGTTCCACTTTCAGAGGTACACCTGGCGGTGTGTTATAAGCAACTTCTAGTAACTTCTGTCGTTGTAAAATAACTTCTTTTAAAATCTGGCTGCATCTTTGTTTTTCCTCGAAACGTTGTTCTTTCCGCCTTGTCTTTCTGAGGATGTCTCTCATTTTGGCTATGTCGGGTCTGTAGTTGCCTTCGTGCAGGTTTCTCTGGAAGTCGAGGAGAGGTGATGTGAATTTGAAGGTTTCTCGAGCAAAGAGTTTGTTGAGGCTGATTTCTTTTTCTTCTTGGTCGTTGTCAGGAAAGCTGGGTAAGAAGTTGCGGAGGTGTTGCTTTTTGGCTTCTGACAGGCAGTTCCAAGTTGACATTGAGAAGAACTCTTTGAAGATTGCAGGGTTTTCGCACAGGTCTTGCGGGAGTTCTACAGTAGCCCCTAGTATTAAAGCTGGCTCCAAGCGTTCCTCGTCGGGTATTGAGCCCCCTTCGGAACTACTGGAGCTTGTCGTGGAGTTTGTAGAACCCGAATCCGAATCCATTTCGCGAGCTGTCAAATCGACAAGGTTAGAATCACAACAAAAAACTCTTTCATATATCTCGTGCGAGACTTATTAATCGGTCGGCTACATATTTTAAAGCACTCATTGATTTCGGAAACATCACTCGTAATTATTTGACATAAGATGAACGCATAGAAATGTGCTGCGCGTATTATCCCGAAATATACGAATACGAGTCCAACACAGATAAATGTTGTGTTCCATAACTACACCAACACTCAAGAACGGTCGTAGAATCGCGTTCGTAACGGCAGTGGGCTGAGAAACCATTTTGCCGAGTAAATAGCATTTTGAACGACAACCATTTGCATTCGACGAATACGATTTTCTAGTCAAACGTCACGTCCCGTACGAGAACAAATAAACAGTACATTTTTAAATAGTATCCTTTAAAAGCATAAAACGGCATTTATAATATATATACATAAAAAATCTATATAATAATTGTATTTCAGCCTGTAATGTTTGCAATTTGCGGCTTTGATAGCTTTACGCAAACTTCGGGTGAGTTATGTGTCAAGTTCTGACAGTACGGGCAAGATGGCGGTGGCCTTTTCGATCGGCGCGAGATTCGAAAATTGACAAACTCAAATTTAACTTGCGGTGTATGGCATCGTGCTTTAAGGCAAATTGCTGGAACTTCCCGTACCGTAATGAAATATTCGAGAAATTTTAAACATTTTATTACAAATACTGTAACTTTAATTATTTTTGCTATCTTGTTATATCTGAGCAAATCGAATGTAAATCATAAATCAATTTATCTCCAATCGTCATTTCATTTCGAATTCAATTTCAAAAAAATAGTTGCCTAATTTGCACAAAATTGAAAAAGTGCTCCAGTATAGTCACAGTCTAAACGCATTTGCAAATAATTCCGTGCGTCATATTCACTTATACTGTGCTTAGCTTTGCGGCATTTTCACATTTTTCAATAGTTTTCTCACAAAATTGGAAAAGTGCTCCCGAAAATAAACAGTCTAAACGCACTTGGGTAAACATTTGTACCGGAGTGGCGCTTAGACTGTGCTTAGCCTGGGTAATTTTTTGAATTTTTAATCCAAAATTACAAAAATATTTTTTGAAAATAAAAATTATGAACATTTTTTTCCAAAAGCAATTATTTTGTTAAAACAAGCAGAAAGTTCTTTGAATCATTAGTTCTCTCAAAAATTGCCCTTTTTTTAACATCTAGCTTTGTATCTCCGAAACCGCTGCGCCTACCTTTGCCAAAAATTAATAACGACTTTTCCTCGTCATTATGAACTGAATGTTTTCTGGATCATACAAATCGGATGATCCGTTCTCTCAAAACTGCCATTTTTTTAACATCTAGCTCTGTATCTCCGAAACCGCTGGGCCTACCTTTGCCAAAAACTAATAACCACTTTTCTGAGGGGTCATGAATTGTCTTTCGAGGTGGGAACAAAAAAATTGCGTCCGATTTTGATGATTTTTGCAACGTAGGTACCTTATAACTTCAGGAAGATGCTGTTAAAAAATTTCGATCGCACTTCAAATAGTTTTCGAGAAAAACGCATTTTTAATATTTGAATAGTATTGAAAAAAAAAATGTTTTTTTTGCAAATATCTCGGGAACGGTTAGAGCTATCGTAAAAATTTGCACCAGCAGATACATATTTTAAATACGCATATTTCATTAATATACACCATGACCCTATGTTGAATATTTTTCTAGATATAGATAGGCGTTCAACTGTTTCAAACTTGCAAATTTGAAAGAGTTTTTGGGGTATATCTCGCGAACGGTAAGAATTATTTCAAAAATTTTTATACTGGGTTAAAGATCTTTTGATTTAGAATATTTCACCTGGGAAAAACAATATCCTATAATGAATCGTTCAAAAGTTATAAGCGCTTAAAGATTTCATGACTAAAAATGCATGAAAAAAAATGCGGATATACAAAACACACACACACATATCCATTTTTTCTGAGGTATGCCTTAAAAATATTCAGAAACCTTCAAAACGTCGAGAAGTGCAAAAATTTTATGGGAAGTTAAAAAACAATCAATATAACATTATTTGTTTATATTTATAGAACATAAAAAAGATATATCATATTGTGAACAGACTTTCAAAAATTAATTAATAAATCTTTTAACTCCATTTTTACAACCATTTTTTACAAGTATAATATTATTTCATTGCACAGCCATTTGACAAAATCCCTTTTTATTTATAATTACTTTTTGTTGTGTGTAACTATGTGTCTTTTCAGGGCACCCATTTGTGTGAATGCCTTATTGCATATTTCACATTTGTAAGGCCGTTCCCCAGTGTGAATAAGCACATGTTTCTTCAAAGTATTCATGTGAACAAATGTCTTATCACATATTTCACATTTGTGAGGTCGTTCCCCAGTGTGAATGCGTTTATGTGCAAACAAGCTGCCCATTTGTGTGAATGTCTTATCGCATATTTCACATTTGTAAGGACGAACCCCACTGTGAATGACTTCATGTGCTCTCAAGAAAGACATTTGTGTGAATGCCTTATCGCATATTTCACATTTGTAAGGTCGTTCCCCAGTGTGAATGCGTTTATGTACACTCAAGCTACCCATTTGTGTGAATGTCTTAGAGCATATATCACATTTGTGAGGACGAACCCCACTGTGAGCGAGCATATGTCTATTTAACCTATCCGGTAGTGTGAATGTGCTAGAGCATATTTCACATTTATAAGGACGAACCCCACTGTGAATGGGTTTATGTGCTCTCAAGTAAGCCATTTGCGTGAATGCCTTATTGCATATTTCACATTTGTGAGGACGAACCTCACTGTGAACGTGTTTATGTACTCTTAAGGCATCCAATTGTCTGAATGTCATATTGCATATTTCACATTCGTAAGGACGTTCTCCAGTGTGAATAGGCATATGCTTTTTCAAGTAACTTGGATATTTGAAACCTTTGTTACATACTTTACATTTATGTGTGCTTTTACTTTGTTTTTGATTACCAGGTAATTTATTCAACATTAAAGTTGTCTCTCCATTACAAACGTGTTGATCAAAATCAAATTTTACAGAAAATGCTTTATTGCAAATTGTGCACACAAAAGACTTTTCATCTGCATGAATTTTCAGATGTATATCTAAGGCGCTTGAATCTGGAAAAGTATCTGAACAAAATGGGCAATCATGACTATGTACCAGCATATGCTGTTCTAAATCACGCAGCCCTATAAATGATTCATTACATATAGTACATTCATAATGAGATGCTTCATAGGATTCCTGTTTGACTTCATCTTTCATTGTTATATCGGAATTCATGAATCTCTCCAGACATGTTTCATCATCTTCAGGCTCTTCTTTTATTTCATATTTAATGTCTTCAATAGGAAATTCTGGTGGTTCGGTTTTAACTTCCAGAATGGAATCAGATAGAGAAACAGCCATTGGTTATCTGAAATTTTATTTAATATTTGTAATAAGCAGTGATTACAGTATGAAGAAAATGCATTTTTATCTAAGATGATCAAACTAAACAAAAACTAATACGTATGTAAATTTCATAACCTCAAAACGAGCATGTACCTTTGCAGAGCGTACGTAGATATGTATTAAAACACACTAAGATTTATTCAATATATCAACTAGAACTGATTTTAATTGATAATTATATAAAAACACGTACCTGCACAAATTTAACTAAACAATTGAACAGTCAAACATTCAGTAGACTATAATATTGACATCGTTACAAAATAATTATAATATTTGAAGCTGTAATTGAAAATAATGCACAAATAATATAATTACTTATTAATTTCTATAGTTTTGTTATAATATAATAATATTTATAAGAAACTGTCAGCCATTTTTATTTAAACTCGCTGTCACCTGTCAAACTTGTTATGAATCTAACTTCAGACTTCACTTTTCGTCTAGAATTAAATCTGGCAACCCTGTCCAATTTGACAGTTGACAGTTTGAATTTCATACAAATTTCAAACGTCAAATTCTAATCAAATTTAAACAATTAAACTACTGTCTTTTACCTCCTGCAAAAATATTTATATATATAATAAAACCAAAAAAAAAAAACAAATAAATATAGAAAACTCGGGACGTTTTTTTGGTTCTTGTCAAATAACTGAAAAATTTCATATGAAACCACCCCTTTTCAGTTAGACAGGGTGAAACTAGATAAAATTTACAACATTTTCTAGAGAACACTTTTATACACTCCGATATAAAAGTTTTGAATAAAACGACTTTGAATTCGATATTTCATTCTTTAGTAGCAATAAATAGAAAATTCGGGGCATTTTTATGGTTTTTGTCAAATGACCCAATTTTCTCCCTCGTTTATGATCGTCCTAATAAAGTTTCACTCTATATATGAATATAATAAAAACGATTATTTGAAATAAAAATATGTATTTGTTCAACAATATTTATAATTTGGTCAAAATCTTATGCACATCATCATCTAACTTATTGTCAAATGCATTTTAAAACTAAAATCTAATTAAAAGTGTATGTAAAAATGTAAATGTGCCACAACTGCTAGTATATATAAAAAAAATACCTCAATATATATACATACATATACACAAATATATTGATAAAATTCTCATTCCTTAGTATTTATTAAAAACTTTGAAACTCTAGCAAAGTCTTAATAAAATAATAAAAGAATTATGTAGTTGATAAATAGATCCTGAGATTATTAATATTAATTAATTAATATTATTAGGTAAACACAATCTGTGTATACAAAAGTATACATGATTGTATTTTGTAAAATTGATATATTTTTTAAAAAATTTTTGATATAAATGTGAATGATATTTACAATAGTTTCCTTTTCGATATGTGTTTCTTTTATTCTTGAGATGGAGGATCCACTCTTGGGTAGAGCTGAAAGAAAAAATATTTAAAATTAATAAATGATAGTAAAAAATACATACAGACCTAAATTTTTACCCTCATATAAATAAAAAATGGATATATACATTTATATATCGATTTATACACTATTAGGCATTTATATATGGGGTCAGTATATTAAAAAAATGAATATATACATTTATATATTGATTTATACACTACAAGGCATTTATATATGGGGTCAGTATATTAGAAATATGAATATATACATTTATATATTGATTTATACACGTTTTGGCATTTATATATGGGGTCAGTATATTAAAAAAATGAATTTATACATTTATATATTGATTTATACACTACTAGGCATTTATATATGATGTTAGTATATTAGAAAAATAGATATATACATTTATATATCGATTTATACACGTTTTGGCATTTATATATGGAGTCAGTATATTAGAAAAATGGATATATACATTTATATATTGATTTATACTCGATTTGATATGTATATATGGGGTCAGTATATTAGAAAAATGGATATATACATTTTTATATTGATTTATACACGATTTGGTATTTATATATGATGTCAGTATATTAGAAAAATTGATATATAGATTTATATATTGATTTATACGCGTTTTGGCATTTATATATGTAGTCAGTATATTAGAAAAATGGATTTATACATTTATATATTGATTTTTACACTACTAGGCATTTATATTTGGGTTTAGTATATTAGAAAAATGAATTTATACATTTATATATTGATTTATACACTACTAGGCATTTATATAAGGGGTCAGTAAATTAGAAAAATGGATATATACATTTATATATTGATTTATACACGTTTTAGCATTTATATGGGGTCAGTATATTAGAAAAATGGATATATACATTTATATATCGATTTATACACGTTTTGGCCTTTATATATGGAGTCAGTATATTAGAAAAATGAATTTATACATTTATATATTGATTTATACACTACTAGGGATTTATATTTAGGCTTCATATATTAGTAAAGTGTATATATACATTTATATATTGATTTATACACTATTAGGCATTTATATTTGGGGTCAGTATATTAGAAAAATGGATATATACATTTATATATTGATTTATACACTACTAGGTATTTATATTTAGGCTGTATAAATTAGAAAAATAGATTTATACATTTATATATTGATTTATACACTTTTAGGCATTTATATTTGGGCTGTATATATTAGTAAAATGGATATATACATTTATATATTGATTTATACACGTTTTGTCATTTATATATGGGGTCAGTATATTAGAAAAATAGATATATACATTTATATATCGATTTATACACTACTAGGCATTTATATATGGGGTCAGTATATTAGGAAAATGAATTTATTCATTTATAAATTGATTTATACATGGTTTGGCATTTATATATGGGGTCAGTATATTAAAAAAATGAATTTATACATTTATATATTGATTTATACACGATTTGGCATTTATATATCGACAAAAAAATCACGAATTATTACATAGGGGAGGGGAAGATCTAATATGATACTACGTGCATTTATTTTTCACCTCAATTTAAAAAAAATCCGAAATTTTTCAAAAAAAATCTAGGTACTAACTAGGTTTGTGGGGGAAGGGGATGATTACAAACATTAACTAGTCCGAGGGAAAGGGGGATCCTTAAAAATAAATCCAGGCTTAAAAATGTGCACCAATAACGACTCTGACTAATAAAAATGTATACATAATCATATAAACTATTTTTACCCCTAATAAATTCCTCGGAACATATCCTTCGGCGCCACTGGAGCCCCTGGCCCACCACCATTCTCTTTCAGCCTCGTCCCCTTTCCTTAAAATCGTTAATTTTTCATTTAACGAAAAGGTGAGCTCGTCAGGCTGACCTGCTTCGTAGGCGAACACTGCATACACTTCACCATTGTTGAGAATTCCTAATTTTTCTTGAACACCTGGTAGAAAAAAAAAAATAATGTAGTAATAAAATTCTAAATATTGTTTAAATTTATTTGGTATATAATATAAAGAGAAGATGTATCTTTGCGCTTGTTAACTTCCCGGTTTTAACCGGTTTTCGAATTTTATATAAAAAATAAATTTTGCTCGAATATTCTGTAATTTGTCCGCAAATTTAGTGTAATTTAGAGCAGTATTTGACTGAATTTATTTATTGTTCAATTTTATGGATAGTAAACAAAATTATTTTAATTTTAATTAGTTGAACTAAAAAATAATAGTTTATCTTGATTAAATAACTTTGAAAATAATTATTCGTTATTCATGCATCATTTTCACATACAAGAATGAAAATATTTTTATGATAGTGAAAGGAAAGTTTTCGAATAAATTAAAATAATACATTTTTAAATAAAAAAAATCATTAAATAAAAAAAAGAAATATTAGATACATGTTGATACATAATTGTTAATATCAATTATAGTTTTAAAAACAATTAAGCTAAACTCGGGTATTGCCTGTTCCGAGAAATTTTAATTAATTAATTTTAAACTTTCTAATTGTTTTTTTTTTGTTTAATAAAATATGATTTCAAACAACTGAGAACGTCTATCGAATTGCTACAAAGACGTGTCCTTTGTTTACTCACAAAATTTCCTGAAATAGAAAATACTCTCGTACTAGCGACCAAATTATGCTTAATTATTTTATATATTATATATATATATATATACACTGGTATAAAAATCTAAATTGATAACCATTGCAGACTGATAAGATATCAAATGCTATAGAAATGATATGATTACAAGAATCAAAAAGCTTTCATCTATCTTTTATATTTGGCTATATTTGTCATTTTCGATTTATACAGTAAAAACCGATTTTTTCACTAAAAAACCGTTTTCCGAATTCCATAATTTTCGCCAAAAAACGGGTTTTAAAACCGGTTTTTGAAAATCGACAAACCCTAGCCGAAAATCGAAAATGAACAAAAATAATTCAAAAAATTACCCAAACTAAGCACAGTCTAAGCGCCACTCCGGTACAAATGTTTACCCAAGTGCGTTTAGACTGTTTATGTACTGGGGCACTTTACCAATTTTGTGAAAAACTATTGAAAAATGTGAAGATGCCGCCAAGCTAAGCACAGTATAAGTGAAAATGTCGCACAGAATTATTTGCAAATGCGTTTAGACTGTGACTATACGGGAGCACTTTTGCAATTTTGAGTAAATAAGGCAACTTTTTTTTGAAATTGAAATCGAAATGAAATGACGATTGTTAATGTTCTGGAGATAAATTGATTTATGATTTTTACATTTGATTTGCTCAGATATAACAAACAAGATAGCAAAAATAATGAAAGTTACTGAAAGTATTTGTAATAATATATTAGAAAACGTTTAAAATTTCTCGAATATTTCATTACGGTACGGAAAGTTCCAGCAATTTGGCTTAAGGCACGATGCCACACACCACTAGTTAGTTATCTTTAATTTTTTTCTCTTACTATATAAATACTCCGAGCACCCGTCGAACCCTTCCTCGTCCTCTTCGCATTTTTCCGCCGGGGTTTCCCGATCGCTCAAAGTCGCCGCGAAGAGACAAGCGCCCCTCTCGACGAGGAAACGAACCGTCATCAGATTATTGCAACTGGCTGCACAGTGCAGTGGCGTCCAGCCGTCGCTGTCCTGGGCGTTCACGTCGCAACCGTACTCCACCAGAAACCTAAAAAAATAATAATAGACAATTAAATAAAATTGGAAATATATTATATATACTAGGATTATATATATTAATGCCAAGGGTCATCCAATATTTTTAGTCGTACATGTAGATGAAGATGTATAAATAAATGATTTTTTGTTTATTCACGACTAAAACATCGATTTTCCAAATTTATCACACAAAGATTCATCGTCTGCCCTTGTAATTTATAGCATAAGATATACGTGTTGGAAATTGCAGTGTTTATTGCAATTAAATTTCGAACGACTTTGCTTTTTCATATCTATCAATATTGTTCCTAGGACACATTATAAAACACCGATTTATTAAGATTTTAATTGATATAATTTTTAAAATATGTATATTTTTGGAGATATTTGCAAAAAACGATGAAAAGCGCCAAAAAGTAGTCAGTAACTTGATGTCAACAAAGAAGTCTAAATTATTATCACTTTTGAACTTAAGAGTAAGATGAACCTAATTCCAAAATTTCATGCAAATTGGAGTACAGTAAAAAAATTCAGACCCAAAACGCTCCATTGACTTGAGTAAATATTACATATCCAATACCAAACATATTAATTTTTGATACAATGAAACTTCTAAATAATTTTTTAGAATAAGTAAATTTTTTTTGTATCCTGGTTTAGTACAGTAAGGCAAAACACGATTGCATTAGTTAAAAAATAATAATCTGTCTCGAATATTTCATATGTGCAATCCTTGACAGTCCACAACCGTCAGACGCATGTTGACTCTATCTTATTATATTATTTTAATTTTTGGCACATCTCAGCTGCTTTTCGGCAATAATAATGTAGATATTACATTTTTCTTATTCATAATTGTGAATATATTATGTTCTGATATTGTCTAGACTCATAAGTGAATGGAAATATTTGGCAAATGACAGTCTTCATTTGTTTTTAATGTCAAACAATGCCTCAAATATTTTCAATGTCAATCAATGATAAGCGGATTTTCGTAATTTTTTCCATTTACTTCTTATTCATAATCATGAATTTAATTATACATAAAAAAATTATTTATTCATTTATTTATTCATTTATTTACCCATTCATTTATTTATTTGTTTGTGTATTTATTCATTCAGTCATTTATTCATTTGATTTATCTCTTTTTATTCGTTTATTTATCTCTCCAATATTTTCACAATCTTATTTCTGTATTGACTTCGTTCGTCTCTAATTACTCGTTTATTGTCTCTAACTACACTCTCTATAATATTAAGAGAGACAAATAGTGACACATTTAAATGAATATTGTAATGTATAGAGTGTAATTATTGTCTCTAATTACACTTTCTAAATAGAATCTCTCACAAAAAGATGCTGAAGGTGATCTTTCACTCGATGATACCTCTAACACATTTCAAAAGTTAAAAATTAAGATAAAATTTGTAACTTCCCGTAGGGTAAGTTATTGTAATCGTCGAAAAATCGAAATTAAAAATGTTTGCATATCTTCACGTTTCACAGATTTCTGAACATTTTTGGCACACCTCAGAAAAAATTTAAGTGTGTTATATAATTTCATAAGATAATTAAATGAGATAACTTTTCGTTTTCGGGCGCACAGATCAACTGATTTGAATGGTTCAAAAAACATTCGATCCCTATTGATAGGGAGATGTGCTGATTAATTTTTGGCAAAGGCAGGTCCAGCCGTTTTGGAGACACGCAGCAAAGAGTGCAAAAAATAGAAATCGAGTTTTTGAGAGAACGGAGCATCCGATTTGAATGATTCATAAAGCATTCGTTTTTTAATGATGGGAAGAATTGGTGATTTGTTTTTGGCAAAGGCAGGTCTGGTCGTTTCGGAGATACCAAGGTGAATGTAGAAAACTTGGCAGTTTTTGAGAAAACTAAGCATCCGATTTGAATGATTCAAAAAACTTTATGCTTGTGTTGACAAAATGATTGCTTTAGGAAAAACTAACGTTCAAATATTTTTCCAAAAATTTTGTTTGTTCACATTTTTTTTGTATATCAAAAATTATTCAATTTTTTTTTCTAGCTACAGTTCTAAAACTCACTTATATATTTCAAATAAATAATTTTAACTTTGCAATTTATATAATTCTTATAAATATGAGATAAGGTCCTTCATTTAAAATTCAACGGATTAAACTGTGTTTATCTACTTTATTGTAAAGATATATAAATTACAGTATTTATAATAATCTATTTGAAAATATTCAAAAAATTACCCCGGCTAAGCACAGTCTAAGCGCCTTCAATGGTGCTTTCTAAGTGCTTCCAATTTTGTGAAAAACTATTGAAAAATGTGAAAATGCCGCCAAGCTAAGCACAGTATAAGTGAAAATGTCGCACAGTATTATTTGCAAATGCGTTTAGACTGTGACTATGCACTTTTTCAATTTTGTGTAAATTAGGCAACTAAACTATTTTTTTGAAATTGAATTCGAAATTAAATGACGACTGTTAATGTTCTGGAGTTAAATTGATTTATGATTTACATTTGATTTGCTCAGATATAACAAGATAGAAAAAATAATGAAAGTTACAGTATTTGTAATAATATATTTGAAAACGTTTAAAATTCCTCGAATATTTTGTTACGGTTCGCAAAGTTCCAGCAATTTGCCTTAAGGCACGATGCCATACACCACTAGTTTACTCATATAACAAACTATATGCAACCTTTAAAATAAAATACAAAAATTTTTGTTCAATTTCCCCAACGCTTAGGATATAAATCCAAAATCTCTGATCTGTCAAATTTGACTGATATGTTCAAAATTCAAAAACCAAATTTTAAATAAATTTTTATATATTTTTTTGGACACCAAAATAGTATTTTATACATCAAGAATGTGATACTATCCTTTTTCAAGCCTTAGCCGGGCAGAGGCGCCCAAAATGGACGCAGTAAGCCTCCTGAAATGGGCAGCTGTGGCCATAGCCAAATCTTTTATACTACGAATAGCCTCCAATGCAATAACCAAGTAAATAATGAACTATATATATATATATATATATACATATATATATACAAGATAACCCGTCAGACGTTGTCCTGTACCCACATCTACATTTTTTTAATATCCAATACTAATATTTACCGTTCAGTTAAAAATAATAATTATTGTTTTTCGAATTACTATTTATACCAATATATGAGTGATGTTTAATGTAGAACTGCTTCAAATAAAATGATTATTCTCAATTCCCACAGTTAACACTTTTATTATCCCTTTAACAAATAATAAAATATGTTCAATAAAATTGCATATTAATAATTATACACTGCGATTTATAGAACAAATTTATTTCCAATAGCTCGATTTATTTTAATGCCAAGGCTTATCCAATATTTTTAGTCATACCTGTAGATGTGGATGTATAAATATATGATTTTTTGTTTATTCAAGACTAAAACATTGATTTTCCAAATTTATCACACAAAAAATCATCGTCTGCCTTTGTGATTTATAGCATAAGATATACGTATTGGAAATTGAAGTCCTTTAAAAGGTATAACAAATTCAGAAAGAATTAATATATAGCATTCGCGGTCAAGGTACAATATCACCTTGAAAATTTTCTATCCAAAATAATTGCTTCAATAATGTTGCCTTTAATTTTCATAAATTCGTACCCTGGATTTTGGTAATTTTAATATCTAAATTACATTTTTCTCACGAATAATTCAATATACATCATTACTTAAGTTCATATTTGAAGTGAATTAATTTGTCAAATCCTGTTCACATGTGCTCTATTCAACCTACGATCAACAAAGGGAGAGGAAAAAATCGTGTGCCCTGTGAATTTTTTTACTATGCTCCAATTTACTTGATATTTTGGAAATAGGCTAATCTTAATCTTAAGTTCAGAAGTGAAAACAATTTGCACTCCTTCACCACCCCCGTATTAATTGGATTATAACTCTTTTAATTCTGATTTTATCCGAACTTGTAATATACTATTTTAAAGGTAATTAAATGACCTACAACTTTCTCTATCATGAATTTTACCGTAACTTCTCTTATTTTGAAACGGCGAAGGGTTAAAAGGCTCGAAAGACATTACTCCGGTTGGACAGCCGCGCACTCTTTAAACAATCATAACTCTATCAATATTTGTGTAACAGAAAAATAATAAAAAGCATTAATTAGTCAGAAAAAGTCCTTGAATTTCTATCTATTTACCTTTATACGTATCTTTTATTCTTTCAGAGATATAATAATGAGAAATTGGTTGTTTTTTTTAATGTATTTTTTTTTTCATGAGATCATGAGTTTTTTGAAAATCGTTTGTACTAAAGTTGTGGTATTTTCTAGAATCCATCAAGATCTCTTAAACCAAGTTAATTCTAGATGGAATACGATTATTTTTAATTTTGGTGGAAATGGCACTCATGAACTATTTGATTTAATTGAAAAAAAAAAAAACATTGTATGCGTCTTTTATTTGCATGATTGCTCACTCATCTTACACGCAGAAGTACTCATTTTAAAGCTTATTTTGAGCACTATAAAACCCCATTTTCATATCTAGCTTAATATTGTTCCTAGAACACTATAAAACAGCGATTTATTAAGATTTTAATTGATATAATTTTGTTATATCATTATTTTTGTTAGAATGTATATTTCTGGAGATATTAGCAAACAACGGTTTTAATTTTTCTTTAACGTTTAGTTAAAAAATAATAATCTATGGAATTGAATTTTAATATACAACCGTGAGACGCATGCGCTGACTGCATCACTTGTCAGACGCATGTTGGCTCTGTTTTATTATATTATTTTAATTTTTGGCACATCTCAGCTGCTTTTCGGCAATAATAATGTAGACATTACATTTTTCTTATTCATAATCATAAATGTATTATATTTTAATATTGTCTTAGCCTATAAGTGAATGGAAATGTTTGGCAAATGACAGTCTTCATTTGTTTTTAATGTCGAACAATGCCTCAAATATTTTCAATGTCAAACAATGATAAGCGGTTTTTTGTAATTTTTTCCGTTTATTTCTACAATCTAACTATATTTCTATGAATCAAAAAAATCATAGAAAATTTCCTTAACAAACTTCAGGAAGATTTATGAAAATCCGAATAATCGTTTAGGAGAATTAACCAATCATACCCCATTGCAGAAGAATTTTATATATAAGATATATATATATATATATATATATATATACTAGCTGACCCGGCAAACGTTGTTTTGCCATCAAAAATATTTTGCTGCTTTACAGTGGTTTTTATTAATCAATACTATTGATCAAAATTTCCTTAAAATTAAAAAATAAAAAAACAGAAAATTAAAGTTCAGGGGCTTTTCAAGTATTACGTAAGCACTTTAGGGGGGCGGGGGTTTATTTATTTGCTTATTTTGGGTAAGAAATTTGCTTCCTTTTGCTCACAAAGGGGTGGGGGGGGGTTAAATAATTGTAATAAATCTGCTTATGTAATACTTGAACGATCCCTTTAGAATAAATTTATAAAATTTATTATAAGTAAGCAAGTGATGATTTTACTTATAAAATGTATTCGATTCAAGTTGGCTGTGAAGGTTTTCTATTAGTATTTTTGTCTAGAGTTGTAGACTCTCGACAGAACTCAAACTATGGTAAAATGTCAAAATATTTTTTAATTAAATAATATAAAATTTCGGCTATTAATTGAGATTCTTATAATACTCTACGTCCTAAATGAGATCCATATGTACACGGTGAGCAAAACAAATTTTAAATCGGTTCAGTATTTTAGGCGTCCATCGCGGACGTAAGGTGTGACACTAAATTTATATATATATATATATATACATATATATATATATATATATATATATATATATACATATATCAATTATCCCCAGGTTGATCCTGTTCCCCTTCATGTCCCTAACAATCGTCCGAACCATAATAATGCCCTTAGCAAGCGCCCTGGTGACTTCTGTCCTGTACGAGTACGTCTCTAGAAAAATGGCCCAGCACGAGATAAACCAGAGCCGGACTGGGAGGACGAGAGAGCAGATCGAATACAGAATAAATGCACCGATTCAGCCTGCGCAGGTGCAAAGGCACCGCAGACGGAGCCACGGAGGGTCCTTGGATGAAGAAGAAGTCGAGATCGAGGAAATTGGAGACCAGGAGTAGTTAGGATGGAGGTGGATTATGATTTTGTAAAGGGATTGTGAGGAATAAATTGTTATGGAAGTGATGTGATAATTTTTTTTGACGTTGAGTTCTGGGATATAAACTTATTTATATATTAGCTGACCCGGCAAACGTTGTTTTGCTAAGTAAGGTATATTCTAAACAATTTTTAGAGAATCAAGATAATTAATACTTTAAGTGTATAAGTGTTGTTTGAATGCTACATACAATGAGGTATATAGAAAACAATAAACCCCATTAGTTTGTCTATGTTTTGTCAACACTGGAAGTTTTATACACTTTCTATACAAAACATGGTTTAATCCAATCCAAGTTTGACTTATTGATTACGTTTCAAGTTTTTCAGATTCTTTTTGGATTCTGGATTTTGTGTATAATTGTAAATAATACTACTCAGCTTATACAAAATTTTCAAATTTCTGCGAGGAGAGATAGAAAATGAATTAGGTATTTTTTCTTTGACCTGCTTTTTGAAAAGTTTCATGTAACATTCGATGTTAAAAGTAAATTTAATAAAAAGTATATATGTAGAGCAGGGCGAGACACAAAGGTCCAATTTGACTTTGAGCAAATATTAATGATATTATAAGAATCAAACCAATTATATCACAACAAATAACACATTTCAACCAAACTATTATCTGACTACGTTCAGTAAAACTGCCAGCTACTTCATCGTTGTAGAAATGTGCTTTTTTAATGTCTTTCAAAAATTTGTTATCTAGGCCAGGTGGCAAACAGGTTTAGTGTCTTATTTTAATTTTAAAGGTATTTTACAAAATAATTACATTTTTAACTAATATTATAAAACTACCAACGGAAGAAAATACTTTTATTATGGATTTTCAAAGGTTACCGTTTATCTCCCATTAGCAAAGTCATAAGAATCAAAGTTATAGCTGCTTATACATCTTTTGCCCTCTACTTTCAAATATTGTTGTTAAACTTAGCTTAACTTTACTGATGGTTTTTGACACATCGGTGGTGGACCCTTTTTAACCCCGGACCTTCATATAGTTTGTAGTAACACTTGCAGCCCTATTACATAATTTTACTGAATTGCAAATTTATAGCTGTTTTTGTAAGAAACATGTGTGATTTTATATTTTTATAATTTAGTACACATATTAAGAAATAACATACTAAAATTTTGTAACTATAGTATGACGTTTCATATTTTTAAATATTTTTCAAAATACTCATCAAACCGTGGACTTGAAACTCGTGCAAGAGTGCATTTGTTTATAAAATTGCACGTTTATAGCTTTTTTTGTTAGAAACATATGTGTTTTTATATTTTTATTATTGAGTACTTATATTAGGTAACAACATACTAAAATTTAATAGCCCTAGTATAATATTGTATATTTTTAAAACATATTTCAAAAGTACTTCTCCTATCATAACCAACCGTCGATTCGCAACTAATAAAAATAGAGTATGCAAGTGTGCATTGCAATTTTTTAGTTTCTTCTGTTAGAAACATATTTGATTTTATATTTTTATAGATCAGTACACATATTAAGAAATAACATACTATAATTTCATAACTGTATTACAACGCTTTATATTTTTAAAATATATTTTAAGCTGTCAATTTGTTTATGCCAAAACGTTTTTATATATAAATAAAACTACAAACAAAACTACTTACTACAATGTAATCATGATTAAATAATATTCACGTAAAACATCCTATTAAACGTAATTGAACATCATTTGTCAACAACGTTTGACATTTGACGTATTAGCCACCGTCCATTGTTTTATTCAAATTACGCTGCTACAAATATGTTCAAATTAAAAATGTAAAGTTTGTACGCGATTTTGAAATAACATCTCACCTTTCCGACAACCTACTGATTAGCATGAATTTTTCAAGACTAAGACTGTCCAAATCGGTTTAGCGTTTTATATATATATATATATATATATATATATATATATATATAAGATAAGATAAGATAAAACTTACTTGACAATTTCCTGGTGTCCTGCACAAATTGCATTGTGCAAAGCTGTGATTCCTTCGTCGTTTGCTGCACTTGGATCAGCAACCTAAAAATATTATATATATATATATATATATATATATATAATAGGGTGGTCCTTAATATGGACATTTTCGAATTTCCTTGCTCCCAAGGGCTCAAATGGTTCCAAATTGATAAAAAACAATTCTCTGAAAGTTTTAGTTCTTAATATTGTCTGAAGATAGAGCGCAATTCAATCAAACTTTGTATGGAAATAGCATGGAAAAAAATTTGAAAATTAAAAAAAAAATTTTAGGTATAACTTAGCGACAAATGAATTAAAAGTGAAAATTCGTGCCATTTTTTATTGAAAATTCGATGCTCTGCAAAATTTTTGAAAATTTTTTCATGCTATTTTTATACAAAACTTTGATTGAATTGCGCACTGTCTAAAAGGCAATATTAAGAGCTAAAACTTTCAGAGAATTGTTTTTTATCAATTTGAAACCGTTTGAGCCCTTGGGAGCCAGGAAATTCGAACACATCCATATTAAGGACCACCCTATATATATGTATAAATAATTTTACCTGTGATGCTGTCTTTTTAACCAATTCCAACTCTCCTTCCAAACTTGCATCCAGCAATAAAGCCAATGGATCAAAACTGACTCTTCTTGATAATTTTGATTTAGAAATTGCTTGTTGCTGTTGCTGCGTTATATTGGAACTTGGAGACGAACATTTGTTGGACACATCATTAGCCTAAATAGACAAAAATATTATCCCATCACTATATAATTACGGCAAGTTGCACAAAGAAAAAAAATTAATAAAAGAAAATTAGTAGTCTATTATTACCTGTTCCTGAACAGGACTTTGATCCCTGATAGGAGGTGTAGGAGTGGCTTCTCTAACTTCTGGAAACATAAACGATGGTGGAATTTCTATTCTTCGACCTGTCGAATGTACCGACACTGGTGGTGAAGAATGGTGGTTAGAATTGCCCAATCCAGTTGTCGAAGATGATAATATCTGGATAAATAAAATCATTACTTAATAATATTTCAAAACCCAGTCTAAGAACCTATAGATCAGTAGTTGAATAACCTTCTGCAAAACGTCCATTGAGATAAAAAAACTTTTGAGTAAAGATATTGGGTAATGGGCATATAAGAAATATAATTGCTGAATGATTTTGAATGAGTTTGCCTGGTTTTATTTATAAATTGTGTATTTATTACCTGAGACGTCTGTTTCCTCAATTTAGGCTGCTCGCAAGCAGGTTGTTTTCGAATTGTTAAAGGACGAGCCCTAATAACAGGTTGTTGACTTGGAGGTTGTGCTGATGTTTGTTGATTTGTTGAACTGCTGTTATTGTTGTCCTAAAAAATAAAAAAATAATTATAAAAAAAGTTGCAATATACTACATACTACCTTCTATATATATAAAAATAAGTCAGGTTTTCCTTCCTGACGAAATAACTCAAGAACGCACGAACCGATTTCGACAATTTTGCATTCGTCTCGGGCTCCTCAAGGTTTATAGCTAAGCAAATTAGTGGTGCATGGCATCGCGCCCTAATGCAAATTACTGAAATTTCACGCACCGTAATTAAAAATTCGAGTAATGATATTAGTGACAATTATCAGAATTATGCTTGGTTAAGTCAACGAGCAATTCTTGCCGCAAAGAATAATGATGTACACGCACTGAATTTCACCATTCAATCAAAAATTGCTGGCGATTTTGTGATATACCAATGATTCCGACTGGTCTTCCGTTTGACTTGAAACGATTGCAATTTCCAGTTCGCCTTGCGTTCGCAATAACAAGTCTCAAGGCCAATCGCTTAGTGTTTGCGGGATAAATTTCAAATAGATTATTTATAAAATCATTGTTTTTCACATGGGCAGTTATACGTTGCCTGTTCACGAGTTGGAAAACCATCCGCTTTGTTTGTGTTAACGTCAGACCAAAAAACAAAAAATGTGGTTTACCAAAGAGCACTTCAATGAAACGGATAATTTGGGGATTCACTTTCATTTACTTAGAGAAGTTTAACTAAAAAACACTTCATTTTTGTAATCGAAATAAACTAATTACTGTTATGTAATAAAATCAAATTTTTCCTTTTCAAATATAAAACAAACAAAAAATTTCTTCATCTTTCTCACGAAACCATCTGGTGGCGAAACGGAGTTCGTCGGGTTTGCTAGTACTATATAATATATAGGTTTGTAAATATGTAAGTACCTGAGATGTTTGCACATTATTTACAACACTATTGTTATTCGAATTGGCAATATTTTTGTCGTTTTCTTCTGAGAGTGAAACTGGAGGTCTCGGAGGTCTTGGAGGCGGTTGTTGTTTGACCTAAAATATAAAATAGAATATACATTAGAGTGGTCCTCAATATGGATGTGTTCAAATTTCCTTGCTCCCAAGGGCTCAAATGGTTCCAAATTAATATAAAACAATTCTCTGAAAGTTTTAGCTCTTAATATTGTCTTTTAGATAGTGCAAAATTTAATCAAAATTCGTATGAAAATAGCATGGAAAAAATTTTGAAAGTTGAAAAAAAAATTTGTAGGTATAACTTAGCGACAAATGAATTAAAAGTGAAAATTCGAGTCATTTTTTTTTGAAAATTCGACGCTCTACAAAATTTTCGAAATTTTATATAATAAAATATATTTAATTGGAAGTATAAATAATTCCAGATTTTATATAAAAATATATAAATATTATATTATAAATTTAATTTCCAAAACTCGTTTTGGCGCCCCCTAAGGCGTGCGCCCGCATTTTTTGCATGCAGGACCTGCCCTGCTTCTATCTCTCTCACACACTTCACCTATCTCTCTCACACGCTCCCTATCTCTCTCACACACTTTTCCATTTTCTCTCACGCCCTCTTTTTTTTACGACTTAAAACTACATTCAATCTATCCTCCTTACCTGAGTATTATTATTATTCGTCTGTTTACTCTGAGGGGCAACTCGCCCAATGGACTTTATTTGCGCCACAGGCCTCGGAGGTCTACTGACATCACCCATGACCACCGGCGAAGAAACCGCCATCACTGGTGCATTTAAAGGCGACGTCACTTGCGCCATGGCCTGCTGCGCCACAGTCGTCGACTGAGCCACCGTCGTCACCATACCGGAGACTAGGGATGATGTCACTATGGCGGGGGATGAGGACTGGGTCACCATACCGGAGACTATGGGGGATGAGGATTGGGTCACCATACCAGAAACTATGGATGGGGATGAGGATTGGGTCACCATACCAGAAACTATGGATGGGGATGATGACTGGGTCACCATATCAGAAACCATAGATGACGTCACCATGGCAGGGAATGAGGACTGGGATACTATTGATGAGGATGTGGTGAAGTGGTTAGGGTTGGTGGTGTCGGAGGTCGTTGGTGACCCTAAAGGAGTCGCCACGCTTTTATTAGCTCCTGATAAAGGCGTGGAGTGTACTGTCATCCCATGCAAACCATCAATAACATTCTTCTCCGACTTATCCTCCTCCAAACTCTTAACCTTCTGCTCAACATTACCAACCATTTTCAGCAAAACACTGCCTAGATTGTTCTGCTGCGAACTTTTAACATAATTTACCGAAAATTTCGTATTATACGGCAAAGTTTGGTATTTGGGATCCGATTTATTCAACGCAAACTCCGACAATCTCTGAAGATGCGGCGACGCCGTCACTTCACTCCCCGTCACCATGGGCGGCGGAATTGGCGGGGGCTCTGGTAAATTATCATCATCATCCTCGTCAACTGTTGTTTGTTGCTGACTTTTTGCTATCGTTTGACTCTGATTTGACTGTTGTACTTGTTGGTGGTTAAAAGTTGGCTGGTTGTACTTCGACAGGGGTTTTTGCTGCGATTCCTCATTTTGGGTGGGCGCCACTGTTTGGGTTTGGGGTTTGTGGATTGGTGTGTGGTTGTAGGGCTCTATTGCTGCTACGTTGCCCCTTGGAGGAACACCAGGCAACCTAGTAAAAGACAAACTAATCAATTTGATTTTTTCTTGAAATATTGTCTAAGTCTTATATTTTTTTAAATAAAACTTCTTTAGGCGCGACATAAGTGTAAATCCGTACAAATGCAACGGAAATTGTTACGCCAAGCTGAAGTGAGAGTCATTCGCTCTCGATGATATGATTTCTATACGGGTCGATTCTGATGCGTGACTTTAAACGTGCATACGTCATCGAAAGCTTGAAGCATATTGTTAAAATTTCCGGTGTTATGTCAAAACATTTTAAGGTTAAATAGAAATAAATCGTGAGTTAATAGAAATGTCAGGAACGAAAGAATATTTTATCCCGTCCCCCATAAATAATTGTAGTGCAAATAATGAAACAAATGAAAAATCTGCGCTGCGTAAGAAACGTAAGTTTATTGAAGTAATTTGTATTATTCGAGTTTTTCGAGGTTAGTATATACCTTTGAGGTTACTACTAAAATAGAAAATATTTTTATAGGCAAGACAGATGATACAGTTGCTCAAAGAATGAAACTATATCGCCAGCGAAATAGTCAAAACAGACAAGCAGTCAATAAACGTATGTTAATTTCAATTACATGATAAGTGAAATTGTGAAAACAATATTTCTTTATTAGAAATTTAAAAAAAGTTTACATATTTATCTTTTATGATGGCTATAAAGACTAATTTTAATTTATTATAATAGTAATTATAAATATTGATGCAGGTTCAAAGCCTCTTACAAACTCTGAAAGATCAAGATTACATCGTCAAACAAAACAACTGCAGGAAAATAATCGGTTACTGCCAATTTATTAGAAAATCTTGAGCCAGAGGTATCAACTTAGATGTTAATGTCAACACCATTGACATAAGAAAGAATCTTTTTTCGCTACAACTATTCACATTTAAACATATTATTTTGTTATCTTTTTAGATGAAAGTACTGCTGTAACTTTTTCCGATACAGCAACTACATCACGTCAATTGCAAATTGATGATTTTGTATATAATGTGACAAGAACTGATCTTTTGCAAGAGTCAAATAAAGTATTTGAACTTCCATATAAAGACATCAATTTGTTTAAGAATGCACGAAAAAAATTGTTTGAAAAACAATTTACAAATGATAGCTTTGGCTATGTATGTTCTGTGTGTGATCGACTTTGGTTTCAAAGTGACTTGAAAATATTAAATGAAGCTCAAAAACAAATTCTTAATAATGGTTAATAATCAGGTTGGATGTCAAACTTGTCGAAAGGCATTAAATTCGGGTAAAATTCCCACATTGTGTAAATTTAACGGGTTTGTATTTCCACCTATACCAAATTATCTACCTAAACTAGATATTGTATCTGAAAGGTTAATTTCACCTAGGTTGTGTTTCATGCAAATGGACAATTTGAAATATTTGGCCAAATTATAAATGTGCCTGTTGACGTTGATAATATGGTTAATTTATTACCTCGTAATATTGACGATGATCATTGCATTAACGTTCACATAAAAAAGAAAATGATTCATAGAACAAGCTATGTGCAGGGCTTGATAAATAAAACAAATATAAAAGTATGGCTTCAATTTTTTAGGCAAGACAAATATTACAGCTGTTCAAAGAATGAGACTGTATTTTACCTTTGAGCTGGTGGTCCATTCCTCTGTCTATGAAGACGTCCTTGCAGTTCAGCAATTCTTCTGTCAACACTTCGAAGTTCCAGTCTTCGCAAATGCAAAGTTTCTCTTTGAAGTTGGAGACGAGCATCTTGCTGGAGGGCTACTTGGTTACGGTACTGAGAATAAAAAAATTGATAAATATCTTAAGGTCACAAATTTGGATTTTAGACACGATAGTCAGATTTTTCATGTGTCGATTATCCCTTACTAGTAATTCTCTCCTAAGTTTCTCCAGTTCCCTAGCAGCCGGTGAAGGAACAGCCTGGTGCAAAACCTCACCGCCGCCGCCACTTTGGCCTCCTTGAACGCCTCCAATGTGTCCTCCATTATTGGTGGGGCTTAAAGTGACACCTCCAGGGCTTCCTGCAGAAGGTACACCTCCAGAACCTCCGTTTCGGCGCCCTCTCCTAAGTTCCTCCAATTGGCGAGTCAGAGCCTCGACTTTGGCGGCTGCTACACTTAGTTCTTTTTCTTTTTCTGAGAATAGGGCTCGGATCGAGTCCAAATCACTACCTGGAAAAGATAAAGAAAAAAAGTTAAAAAACTAGTGGTGTATGGCATCGTGCCTTAAGGCAAATTGCTGGAACTTCCCGTACCGTAATGAAATATTCGAGGAGTACTAAATGTTTTCAAATATATTAATACAAATACTGTAACTGTCATTATTTTTGCTATGTTCTTATATCTGAGCAAATCAAATTAAATTTGAGCAAAAATTGAAAAAGTGCTCCCGCATAGTCACAGTCTAAACGCATTTGCAAATAATTTTGTGCGACATTTTCACTTATCCTATGCTTAGCTTGGCGGCATTTTCACATTTTTCAATAGTTTTCACAAAATTGAAAAAGTTCTCCAGTAGATGAACAGTCTAAACGCACTTGGGTAAACATTTGTACCAAAGTAGCGCTTAGACTGTACTTAGCCTGGGCGATTTTTTGAATTTCCCACAAAATTACAAAAATATTTTATGGAAAATAAAAAAAGATATAATAATCTTTTATCCTCAAAAGCAATTGTTTTGTCAATACAAGCAGAAATTTTTTTTAGATCATTCAAATCGGACGCTTAGTTCACTCAAAAATTGCCATTTTTTGCACATTTAGCTCTGTATCTTCGAAATGGCGGAACCTGTCTTTGCCAAAAACTAATCACCTTTTCTCTCAATCATTACAAATTGAATGCTTTTTAATTCATTCAAATCCGATACTCCGTTCTCTCAAAAACTCGATTTATATTTTCTGCACACTTTGCTCCGTATCTCCGTAACGGCTGGACCTGCCTTTGCCAAAAACTAATCAGCACATCTCCCTATCAATAGGAATCGAATGTTTTTTAAACCATTTAAATCGGTTGATCCGTGCGCCCGAAAACGTGGACGAAAAATAGTTTTAATAAATTCATACAAGATGGCACAAGCACTTACTTAAAGACATATAGTAGTAATAAATATACAAAACTTTCAATTGAATTGCGGACTATCTAAATGTTTATATTAAGAGCTAAAACTTTTAGAGAATTTTCTTTTGTTAATTAGGAAGCATTTGAGCCCTTGGGAACAAACAAATTCAAAAACGTATATATATATATATATATATAAATATATATATATATATATATATTTATTTTAAATCCATACGTTTCGGCTATAATCCTAGCCTTTATTCAGTGAAAACTAAAAATAAAATTAAAAACGAAAACAATTGAATTGGAGTGGAAAGAAAAAATAAAAGAGTAAATAGTACTTACAATTAGTTAATCTTAGTGTTAAATTGGAAAATTTTAATAATCCATGGTATCAAGATAAGGTAACGCACTACACTATGTATTATAAACATTAAACTTGTAATTACACAATATTTTCAACAAAATACTAATTTAAAAAATCACAATTAGATAGTGTGTTGTTCGTAAACTGGTTGAAGATATAATGGAGAAAGGACTTTTGAAAAAAGTCCAAAATTATTGTTTTGTAAAAAATTTGGAAATACTATCTAAATAAAAGAGATTTGTGTCGCCCAACGTGTTAAGTTCATAACGTTTATTTATTGTTTTATTGCTGTAAATAGTTTGAAAAGATCCTTCTATAATTTTTCGTTTGAATAAATTTTGTTCGAATTGTAGTACAGTCGGGTTAGAAAAGTCCATATTGTGTTTTAAAGTATAAATATGCTCCGCAATCATAGTTTTAAATTGTCTCGGATTTTTTTAATTGTTTTTATGTTGTTGTAAACGTTTCATTAAGTTCTGGCTTGTTTTTCCTATGTAAATTAAATTACAATCTAGACAATTAATTTGATAGACGAGATTTCTAAGTCGTTCGATATTAAAAGGGTTTTTTGTTTTGGTAAAAATAGTACTAGTCGTTGTACTAAAATTGTTTACAAGTCAGAGTCCAGATTTATAAAAAAGTTTTTATATATACATATATATATATATACATATGTATATATTACCCGCGTGCCGGACTTGAGGTGACTTAAATCTCCCACGTGTCAAACGCTTTTTTCCCTCAACTGCCCTTCGATTTTATTTCCCAATAACCCCACCATCCCTTAAGTCCCTCTCACCTTTCCCTTGACTTGACTTGACTGACTGACTGACTGACTTTCTACAAAATTCATTTCCTCCCGGAACATATTTCCTCGGGAAAACGGAACACACGTCGGAAAATTCTGTGTCATATGTTGTTTTCTTGTAATTCGGTTTTCGGAAAATCGACATCGGTGTCGAATCATGTCGAATCGTGTCGAACCAACCACTAGGAGAAGGAATTAGTAGGAGTAGAAGTAGAACATGTATAATTCTTTTGTCGAGTTTTAATATGTTTGTTAGAAGAGCTTTAATGTGTTTGCAACGTGCCTTAATGCAAATTGCTGAAACTTCACGTACCGTAATTAAAAATTTGAGTAATGGCATTAGTGAGAATTATCAGAATTATGCTTGGTTAAGCCAACGAGCAATTCTTGCCCCAAAGAATAATGATGTACACGCACTGAATTTCACCATTAAATCAAAAATTGCTGGCGATTTGGTGACATACCAATGATTCCGACTGGTCTTCCGTTTGACTTCAAACGATTGCAATTTCCAAGCGTTCGCAATAATAAGTCTCAAGGCCAATCGCTTAGTATTTGCGGAATAAATTTCAAATAGATTATTTAGAAAATCATTGTTTTTTACATGGGCAGTTATACGTTGCCTGTTCACGAGTTGGAAAACCATCCGCTTTGTTTGTGTTAACGTCAGACCAAAAAACAAAAAATGTGGTTTACCAAAGAGCACTTCAATGAAACGGATAATATGCGAATTCACTTTCATTTACTTAGAGAAGTTCAACTAAAAAACACATCATTTTTGTAATCGAAATAAATTCATTACTGTTGTGTAATAAAATCAATTTTTTTCTTTTCAAATATAAAATAAACACAAAATTTCTTCATCTTTCTCACGAAACCATCTGGTGGCGAAACGGAGTTCGTCGGGTTTGCTAGTTTGGTATAAATATCTAGATCGATATTTATTTTAGTAGAATTCCAAATTACCATTTGTATCTACATATCCCCCAAAAAAATCAATAAACCATCCCTTTTCCATCCCCTATCAGTGACAGCTCTAACAAATTCGCATAATAACTTACCCCGAATTGTCTTTCGTACTAAAAGCAATAAGTCCTTCTTTAAAGACAACAGAATTGATGGTGATTCCATCCATCCATCTCTACCATCAATTGTTTTTTTTTTCAAGTATTAAGTTTTGTTTCGAATGCCTACAAATTCTAATTGAAACATCAGTCAATAGTAAAAGATGGTAAATTATACACAAGGATGGTTTTAGTGGTTCCTAAGAGGATTTTAAGGGATGTTAGTGGTTTTGTTTGATGTGAAGATAGAGACAGTATATAAGGCAGATGTTAGTAAAGTAATATTTGGGGTTTAAATAATGAAATATCAAATTCATAGTCGTTTTTATATCGGAGTGTATAAAAGTGTTCCCTAAGAAATATTGTAAATTTTATCTAGTTTCACCCTATCTAACTGAAAAATGGTGGTTCCATATGAAATTTTTGAGTTATTTGACAAAAACTTTGAAATTAAAATCTTCGTAAGGCATCCACATTGTTTCAGCTTCAACGCTTTGGTTTAAAATTATATTTATTTTGTTATAATTTAATTAAATATATTAACGATATTATATATCATTCGAAAGCTGATAAAATTATCTATAATTATGTATATAAAAAGTTGAATCTCCCAGTACAAAATTGTCTAGGAAAAAACTTCAAAAAATGTAAATTTGTTACTTTATCACTAACTAATCACGAGATAATTCTTACCGGTACTTTTTTCACTACAGTAGTATGTACACTTAATTTGTGTATTTATTTATTGAATCTCTTGTAACTTTTAAACCCTTCATGCAAAATTATCATAATATTTTACAAATACGTTCAAAATTAAATGATCTAAAAATATTTGTAACATTACAACACCCTACACCAACTCGGTATACTTTAAAATTGCAATCAAAAGTATATATATTTTATAAAATTATAAAACATAAATTATATAAAAAAATGTTTCGAATTTTCTATTTGTTGCTAAAGAATGAAAACTTAACAATAAATTATAAATGATTGAAATTTATTTATTTTGCACGTTTCGACACTAGATACGTGTCATCAAAAAATCAAAATCAAACGATAATAATTTATAAATAAAATATATTTTGTGCAGATTTTTGTCATCAATCACCAATTTTAAAATAATTACACAAAAATTACGCAAAATTAAGAAAATTGAAAAAGTCTAGAAATATTTAGAAAAATAGTTTTTTTTGTAATTATTGTTCAATTACTTTGCAGTTGATGACACATATAGAGTGTCAAAACGTACTTTAGTATTAACATTTATTTACCAAATTGTCTACTTTATAATTGCAAATATTTTTTAACTGTGAATTAAATTTTTATTTCTCATATTTAGATAGTTTATACTTTTTTGTTTGAACTGTTACACGATGACACACATTTAGTATCGAAATGTAAAAAGAAATATTTTTTATATTTACTTATTACTTAAATAAATATTTTAAATTCAAAGTCGTTTTATTAAAACTTTTATATCGGAGTGTGTATAACTGTTTTAATGGAAATGTAGTAAATTTTATCTAGTTTCTGCTTTACTAAAATGATGTTTCCAATACAAAATTTTCGAGATATTTGAAGAAATGTTGAAAAATGGCCCGAGTTTGTTTGTTGTTTTAGAAATAATAATATATTCTTGGAACTTGTGAAAATTGGAAATCAAGGTTATTACTATTCGATGGCAAATTAAAAATGTTCTTAGAGCAACTTTTTGAATCACCAAAATATCTGCAATAGTTTTCATATAATTGCATTTTTACACTTTGCAAATTTTATAAGTTGCAAAAAATTAATATGGATCCTGCGAAATCGAAATATTTAAAAATGCAATATCTTGAGAACGCTTTGAGATATTTTAGAAATTCAAAAA